CCAAAAATAAAATCTTTCATCTATGATTATTCTTTCAAGAACACCTAATATCATTTCTCACAGTTAACTTTTGTGTTGAATTCTTCTGTTCTTCAATATACTACAATAATGACTTTAATCCATCTTTAATAATGGGCCTAGTTGTTCGGAATAAATGAAAAACCAAATACCCATGTGTATAGATTGTTGTGCACATAAAAGATTCCTTGACGGTTGGATGAAAACACCACTGTTTGGTCAGAATTCTCTTATCTCATATTGCTCACATAACCCTAGAAATAAAAATTAGTGTATATTTGTCTTGTAATGACTTAAATTGAACAATAAGAAATATATCCCAGTATTGGTGTAACAGTTTAGGCTACGATACTTGCAATATTCTTAAATAACCCCTTTTGTTTTTCTTAACTTCACTGTAAACAAATGTTATTTAGGTAGCCAACCAATTTAAGGATTAAAGTTTTTATACGCCCACATTGAAATGTGGTTGTATATTGTCGTCACCCCCGTCTGACAGTCTGACGTCCACAATTGCTTGTGGAGGCTCTAAAGGCTAAAGTTAATATCCGATTGACTTTAAATTTATACACGTTTTTAAGGTCATGAGACGAAGAAGCCTATTGATTTCTGATAATTACTGCCAGACTTATGGCCCTTGATCACTTTAAAATATCTTGTGGACACTCTGGAGGCTAAAGTTAATGTCCGATTGGCTTTAGAGGCTAAGTTAATATCTGATTGACTCTAAGTTTATAAATAAAGTTTAAGGTCATGAGATAGGAATGCTATTGATTTTCAAGGATTTCTGATTACTGCCAGAGTTATGGTACATGATCACTTTGAAAATACTTGTGGACGCTCTAGAGGCTAAATTCAATATCAGACTGACTAAATTTATACACAGTGTTTAAGGTCATGAGATGAGGAAGCTTATTGATTTTCAATGATTTATGATAATGACTTCTTGGCTTATGGCCCTTGATATTAAATCTTTATACTGAATGTTAGTATAAGGTAGAACTAGAAGCCAAACAAATTCCAATGATTTCTGATAATTACTTAATGGGTTGTAACTCGTAATCAGATTTTAGTGTGTTGTAAATGTTTTCATTACTGACAAAAGAAAAAATATCACACAACCCTTGTTGACTGTCGGAAAATGTAGCTGCTGTGGGGGTATGTTTCATTGCCTAGTAACCTATCTTTAAACATTGTACTTGAGAAATATGGTAATTTGTAAGTTTGTAGATGCTGGCAATATAGTATCAGGGACCTAGCCAGAATTTGCTGATTTGTGGAAAAAATATCTTCCGAGTAAAAAAAAAATTTTGGAGGGGGGGGCGTGGTCTTTTATGAAAATTCAACCCTTCTTGGTGTATTTTCAGAGCATCTGCTGCCTTTTGTATTTGCTTCAGTGCAAATCAAATTTCCATTTATATATTCAAGTTTTTACCAAATTCACTTAATTTTCATCATTGATACAGAGACTCTGCCAGGGATTTAAAAACTTTTTGTCACCAACGGACCGAGCATAAAATCGCCCCACCCCACTCTGTTTCTCAGTTTTTTGGCAAATATTACCTTATTACTTTGAGATTGAAAATTAAAACGATTCTTAAAACGGTGTTTGTGTTTTATTTGAGTACAACGAATTATGACAACAGGAAGATATTGATAATTAAAACACGTTTTTTTATTTGACTTGTGTCTCACGAATTACGACACCATTTACGACATCCAAACCTTTAACATTGGAGTGCCTTAAATTGGTCTGGGGGACCTATTTACGGCAAATATACAAATTTAAAGACCGTAGAATTGTAAAATGAATAGACCTACACAACTTCTAAATATAAATAAACAAAATACCAATACTTCTTTCTTTAAACTAATTTGGGATGATAGGTATGCCGTGGCAGACATGGTTTGCGTCGGCTTCTACCATGGCTTTGCCGTTTGCCGTGGTAAATTTCGAGCTTTTGAGTTTCTGTACAGAGAAGGACGAAGGGGTTTAAATACGACTGGCCTTATAACTCCATGCAAAGATTGGATATGGTTGGTTTTCAAAAATTAAAAAAAAATATTGCTACTTTAAGCCACCATTTCAGTCTAGTTGTTTTAATCCATTATTCCAGCTTAGTTCATTACAACCTCTTTATTTCTCTTAATCCATTCATAAAATCTTATTCAATTGATTATAGTAATGTTGCTATTTTCAAAGGATTTCCATGGATTACCAGAAACCAATAAGTTGGATGATTATGTTGTGATTTATGGATTAGTAGCTTTTTAATCTCCCACACATGTTTGGTTGGTTGATGTTAACATGGTTATCAAATGAAAACAAATAAAATGTAAAAAAAAACAAACCCCAAAACACATACTTATGGAAAACAACTACTAGTATATTTTACGATGACGTTTTGAAGAGGGCTAATTAACTTTATAACATTGAGAGATTACTCTTCGAAACATTGCCTTAAAATACACTAGTAGCTGTTTTCTATCTGTTGTCCATAATTATGTGTTTTTGTTTTCTATCGAGTTACGAAATGCCTTTTAAAGATTAAATGAAATGTAGTGAACTTTGTGTAGCTGACATGTTGTACTGTGTGTAGCTGACATGTTGTACTTTATGTAACTTTGTATTGAATATTTTAGACACATGTTAATTTTGAATAATATAATAAAAGTAGAAGTAGGAGTCATGAAGCTTCAAGATTTATCAATCCAGCCTCTTGCTGTTGAGGGTTGGCTCCTGCGTTACTGACAACATTGTATGCCTCGTTGTTCTGATGGCTCAGAAAAAACGAGGTTCACCCATATAATCATTGGTGTGCTTATCAAAGAACCCTTGGAAATTTGAATCTGATAAAGAGGGGCCAGAAATGCAGCTATCCAGGCAATATTTTGCACCTTGCATTGTACACACATCAATACCATATGCTAATCGCAAATCTGTTGTCAAGATGTTAAACCCAGTTATATTCCATTCCTTAAAAACTCTTATAAAACCTGAAAATAAGTAATCTATAATTTGTTGTGAAAATAATTGTCCCCCGTCTGTCTGTCCGTCACACTTTTTGGGACACAATAACTCTCTTTCTAATTGAGCGACAATGTTCAAACTTGGTGTAGATGTTTATTAGGTCAATGTCTTGGTGGAGTTTGAAGATGAGCATCTTCTGCTTAGGGTAAGCAGAGATAAGCAATTTGATTGGTTGATGCTTTGGGACACGATAACTTTAATTCTAATTGAGTTAGAGCGATGAAACTCCCGAGTATAGATTCATTATATCAGTACCTTGACTAAGTTTGATGGTGAAAATTTTCTGCTTAGGCTAAGTAACGATAAGCAATTTGATTGATTAAAAAGATAAATGTGCAATCGATCAATATATATCATCTATTTATTTTGGATTTCGGCGGGGACATACATCAGCCTCTCTGTTGGCTTGTTTATTTAGTAGTGTTGATGTATTTCCTGAACTATTGAGCAATATCCAATATCAATTCTAATTGAGTGATTTAACTGCATAACAAATAAAACAAATAAACAACAAAATATCACATGATATATTTCACAATATATTTTCATTTCGGATTACGACAATCAAGTTTCTGTATCAATCTTAAATCTGACATTAAAGTTGAAAGTATTAGCTTAAATTATGAGAAATGTGTGCTATTTTTGTCGTGCCTGGGTAGGAAAATAACCTGTATATAATACTGTACGAAAATAGATCTAATGCGTCTTTATTGTCACAGAAGAAAGTATTGATCGCACTGCATAGTAGCATGGGGAATACATATTTATACCGTACTCAACCCAAGAAACATTGGACATTGAATGTTAAAGCCTCATGTTTATAGTTTACAAGCAGATTGAATAGAGAAAGAAATGGAGTTTAATGTCCACTTAACGCAAACTAGGTCATTTAGGGACTAACATATGATTCAATTTTATTTCTATAATTCGTTTGTGCGTAGGGGTCTTTAGCAGTGGGAGGAAACCTAAGGACCTGGAGAAAACCCACAAGGTTTGACAGGCGACCCTACTCCTTGCCACGTACAACTGGGGAATCGAAACCACACCAGTTGACGCCATGACAGACCTTATGATACAACGCGCATGCGTTAACCATTTGGCAATCCAACCCCCCCCCCCCGATTGAATAGAATTATTGAAGTGAATGTAAAATATATCATTTCAATATATTAATATTAAATGTATCTGATTGTCAAAGTATTGTCAATACAATATTGTGTAAATTGAATCTATAAGGTATATTTGTCTAAAAGTAGTTCAGTTCCATTCAGTGGTTATAAAGATATGATAAATTGTCAGTATAAAGCATCCACTGCAGATGATATACAAAGGATATAACCAAAACAAGCCAGTACTACCTATATAATTTGCTCAAATCATTTGATGGGCCTCTTTTTTGATATTTTGATTTTGTTTTTATTGAAATGTTTAATAATCAATGAGTTTGATCAGTGACTTTAACTGACATTAAAATTATGGTATATCTTTATTAGTGTCAGATGCTGGAGACAAGCTACCCTACTCCTTGTCACATATAAATTTAGGATCAAAACAGTTGCATTGATGACAGACCTTATAAAGTGTTGTTTGGATTGGATGAAAAACCGAGGTGCCATGTCTACATTGGCATGCATGTAAAAGATCCTTTGGCATTTGGAATTTGTTATAAGAGTAGGCCATAGTGCCGCTGCCCAGGCAAAATTTCACTCATAGCACACTGTATGGCGTGTGCCTGTCTTCATTAGCCCAGTCGGAGCAGAACAGTAGGACGTTAAACCGCATTTCATTTCATTTATAATCTAAAGTATCCCCACCCACCTACATACACAACCTATGTTAAGGATTCATGTATTCCATGTTCGTAGACTTACACTTTTTTCAATAAAATTACAAATTTGGAAATAAGAACTATAACTGAAGACTAATTGATCTGATCTTTGTGTATTTTCAGGATAATGGAGCATATCCCTTCCAGATATTTCGACCTGGATTATCATATCCTGGAGCTGAACTTAGTCTTTATACCTCTCCCTCAATGCCCAACATATCCCTTGGGCGACCCCCAAAATCTGGAGCCTCATCTGTAAGTATATTTAAAACAATTATATATAACTGTTTACCACAAGCTATTTTTATACGCCCATGGTCTTGTAATTTCTTGTAATATGCAAATGCAACAACCCTTGTGGACTGCTCAGACGACTGACTTAGCTGCTGTGGGCATATGTTTTGTTACCTGGCTAGCTATCTTTAAATCAATCTCCAAACAGTAATTTTGAACTCATCCGCCCTAGATGCAATCTGCTATTTTTGTGATCTGTGTGATGTTAAAGTTGTAAACATTATTTTATTTCCTATCCTAACTGTGTTAATTTATTCATCTTTATTATATAATATTGTTATATAAACAACTTTTGTTTGATCTTGTACTCAAACTTGACCTTTACACATATTTTAATATAAAGATATATACAGATTTATCTTTGGAGTTTATTTCTGAGTTGTTAAGGGAAGTGTGTCTAGTTGTTTGAATTGGACAAAAAGCCAAGGTCCAACCCTTGACTTGGGAAATATAAAAGAAAATGGGTGGAAACTATGTCTTGTCTCAAAAAGCCCCATTCAATTTCAATTTGTTTCCGAGCTTTTGGAAGTTTTAGGAGTCCATTCTATGGAAACTTTTGTGATTTAAAAAATGGCTATTTGCAACTCAAAATTGTCACCAATATTGTGAGATGGTTCAGGATTCATTTGTAAAGAAAATTTGTTATTTATTTCAGGGCTCACCTAGTAGTAGTATATCATCAGAAGAACAGTTACATGCTGCCATGGTAGCTAGATTAGGGGGTTTACCCATATCTGGACCCATGTTACCCGGTGCATTACCAGCATATTATCAATCTTTACCACCAGGTAATTATAAAACCTACTTAATTCCTTTTACAACAGATGGGATCCACAGTGGCTTGGTGAGTAAGACGTTGGCTCGATAACCTGGAGGTCCCGTGTTCGATCCTGGTAATGTCTGATAAAGTTCATCCTGATTTCTTGTCAGTGGCTAGGAGCGAAAACCTGATATCCTGTGTACACATTTGGAATTTGTTATAGGGGTAGACCGTAGCACTGTTGTCTGTGCAAAATATCCATCATAGCACACTGCATGTCATATGCATGTCTTCATTAGCCCAGTTGGTGCAGAAAAGTAAGACATTTTGTTTCATTTACAACAGAAATATTCAATTCTACGTAAATGGTGGATTGGAAGAGTGACTCGTAAACAGTTGGAATAAAGAACCTTGTAGGAGAGAGTAAATTGTTTGTTAAACAACTGAAGCTTGTTTCAGCCTGGGTTTGGCACCATGTTTTGCAACATCTTTCTGGAATGTAAAATGGATGAATGCAGATCTTGTGTATGGTCTTTAAATAGCCAATGATTGGATCAAATTATCCAGATTCAATTAATTATTATATAACAGATAGAAATTTTAAATCATGATTTGATGAGAATCAATCTTTTAAGTATTTTTTTGAAGGTGATTGATTATCTCAGCCTACAGTTTTTATACTACTGTAGTCATTAAAATGTCTGATGCAAATATATGGTTGATCTCCTACTGTCCAAATTCAGACAAGTTTCAGTGTTAGTGGCTGAGATAAAAGCTCAATTATCTGCTGTGACTTTTTCTGTGACAAGTTTTGTGATAGTTGTTATATTTCTTTCCAGAAGGAGAGTTTCCTGGTGGAACCGCAGCCTATCTAGCTGCTCAAGCCAAATTAACAAGCAGTCCACTTATTAGCCCATACACCATTCCTACATCAGCTAGTGGAATCTCAGAATCACCCCATCCTGCTCACAGACTTCATCGGTAAGTAAATATGGCTAGGCCTCTTAAATGTGGGTAAAAGAACTACATTTAAAATTTTAGGTCTACAAATAGAGCCAATGGTTAGACAAATGATTTTGTGTCCCGATGGGACGAAAAACCGAGGACCCGTGTATACATTGGCGTGCACGTAAAAGATCCCCTGACAGTTGGATTTCAATATAAGATGTAGGCTATAGTGCTGCTGCCCGGGTAAATTTCCCTCATAGCACTCTGTATGTCGTATACCCGTCTTCCTTAGTCCTGCCTGAGCAGAACAGTAGGTTGTTAAACCCCATTTCATGTCATTTCGATTTTGTGTTCCACTGTTGACAGTTTATAGAGCATTTTTATTTGTGTAGATTTTTGATTCTGGAATATCGTATAAGAAGTTTTATTCTTGTAATGTTTTGTTGATTTCTGTATTTGAATTTGTTTAAATGTTTGTGTTACAGCCATAAACCTCTAGGAAGAACCCATTCAGCTCCACTGCCTCTTGGTCATCCAGCATTTCAACAACAACAACAACTCTTACAACAACAACATGAACATTTCATTAAAGAAAATCAGAAATTGTATTTAAAACAGGTCAGTTAGTTATATGTATTTAAAACAGGTCAGTTAGTTATATGTATTTAAAACAGGTCAGTTAGTTGTATGTATTTAAAACTGGTCAGTTAGTTGTATGTATTTAAAACAGGCCAGTTAGTTATATGTATTTAAAACAGAAACAAGATAAAAAAGATTTACATTCTATAATCATCTGGCCTTCTATTCCAATACTGAAGGTTTTCCACTGTTAAAATTACAACTCCACTCCACCCCTACCTGTTGATATCGACGACTAATCCAACAATTGGAAACTTTGACTAGTGTATTTATCTTAAGGTTTTATCTATAAGACAAATTCATTCATGTGAATGATAAAATTTGTCCTGTAGTTACAGAAGTTTTGGCCTACAGATAAATCCCGAAGAACCTCTCCTACTCATATTCACTATGTCATACAAACTGGACCAGAATTTCGGCTTCTCAAAATAGCTGACGTTGAACTATACTTTCACTAGGTTTTGTTTTCAATGATTAATCCAAATGTGTGACCCAACCCAGTCTTGGTTTTTGTTGCAATCATTGATATGTTCATAAAGAATGACCCGCAATAGGCTGATTTACGTAATGCATCTTTTAATATGGTTCACAGCCCATTTATTATGTTTTGATAGTTGTTTTGCATCATTAAATATTTTGACAGTCAAATTCAGATCTTGGTTATTTACTAAATGATGTTGTTATTTTAGGTAATCCGTGTCTTCAAGCAATTTAATCATACATAAAAAGATCCAAATGATTCCATTTAAAAAAAAAAAAACAACCATTTTTACTGCTTCATTCTGATATAAATCAAATGATAAGTGAGTTGTCTGTCGTTAATGAGCATCGTCAGATGTTATATTGCGTTAAAAACACCAATAAGAGTAATTTATATAACTTTCTTGTCAATGTTGTAGCATATACGACAGACAGTTTTACAGAGAGCTGGCAGTAAAGGTCACATGGAAAATGTAGACGAAGAAACAGAAGTTAAATTAGCACAGGTAAAATATAATCTAATTGATTTGAAGTCTCGTACAGAAAACAGATTTTCTACTTTTACTTTCTTTTTTTTGTGTTGTCTCTCCATCCCATACAAGCTAAAATTCCAGATTGACGGAGAATGCATATTGGGACAGGAATGTGCGCTTAAAGGCCAAGGCAAAATTTCCAATGAGCACCGCGGGTGAAACCATTTCGCTTATGGCACACTGGGTGGAGCCATTTCCCTTTCGGCACACAGGGTGGAGCCATTTCCCTTATGGCACACATGGTGGATCCATTTCCCTTATGGCACACAGGGTGGAGCCATTTCCCTTATGGCACACAGGGTGGAGCCATTTCCCTTATGGCACACAGGGTGGAGCCATTTCATTTCATCTCATTTTAAAAGTATAAAGGACAAATCATGTAATGATACTTCACGTACTGTCATCATAAAAACTTTCTTCTTCTATTTGAGCAGGAAATGAAGGAATCAAGAGAACAGGACCAGTTACGTGAAGATAAAATGGATGAAGAAGCTGCTAGCGAGTTAGCTAAGCAACAGAAAGGTCGGGAAGCATTCCTAGGTCAACAGCGAGAGATTATAAAAGGTCGACACAGAGGACCATCTCATCACCGTCCTTTGTCCCGAACACAGTCCAGTCCACTTGTAACATTTTCTGTCCCCCCACAATCAACCCAAGATACCGGTCCCGTCACTTACACTTTTACTACAGGTACGTCAATGTCTTTTCTCATAGAAAACAAAAATATGTCTATATATTGTTTAAAACAATAAATATGCTTTAAGATGGGTCACACAACTGATAGGCCCCATATCAGAATTACTGACTTAGGATAGCTTTGCATGTTTCACAAAATTCTCTCCACTGAGGAGACTTTTGGCATCATTTGGTCTGTTTCATATTTTTCAACATGCTGAAATTTAAGTATAATTTTATTAATTTTTTTTTTACAATTCTTTATTCAATTCAATTCAAACACAAACAAAACATGGATACTGTTATCAACTTAAAAACATTATTGATGTAATTTGTTTGGAGTGTTGTAATATGTTATTATGTTAGAGGTATAGAGTATGATAAAGTAATGTTATGTTATTATGTTACAGGTATAGTGTATTATACAGTAATGTTATTATGTTACAGGTATAGAGTATGATACAGTAATGTTATGTTATTATATTACAGGTATTGTGTATGATACAGTAATGTTAAAACATACGTGTACGTGTGGTAATAATGATAATCATTTAGAACATGCGGGTAGAATACAGAGTATCTGGAACCAACTAGAGAAAACTGGACTAACTACTCGCTGTGAGGTACGTATATATTTAATATCTAGGATCCTTTCACACAGGGTAGCCTGGATATGTTAGAATCTGCGAGGGTAAATAGTCAGTTGTTATACTGCCATTTTGTGTAGTATGTTTAAGATTTATATGTAGCCCCTCTGTATCTATATGGAAACAGAAGACACATACACATCCACCTTTCTCTGCCAAATTATCAATTTAATTTACATTTCTTCTCTTATGTTTTCAGAGGGTACGCTCAAGAAAAGCCACATTAGAAGAATTACGTAGTTGTCATACAGAAACTTACACATCATTATACGCTACCAATCCTCTAAACAGACATAAATTATTAGGTAGGTCACTTTCATTATACACTAATAGGTGTTCTGATAGGTATTATCAGGTGTTCTATAACACCTACATCTGTCATTTTAGATTAGAATATTAAAATAACTTTTACCTGTATTTTGTTATTATAGAATCATCACCAATGCGTTTCTGTTTATTACCATGTGGTGGAGTCGGTGTTGATTCAGATACCGTCTGGAATGATCTACATACATCAACGGCTGCAAGAATTGTAAGTTATTTATAGAATTGAGAGGGTTTAATAGGCCATAGTAGTATAGGTTGTGGTTGCTAAAGGTTAGATGACCAAATGGTCCCAAATTTTACATTGAAGATGAAAGGTCTGTCATTTATACAATCCATGAGTAATATCTCATGTTTGTATGTGACCAGTTGTTGGGTACCAACCTAAATGTCCTTTGTTTGAATGTGACAAGTGGGTGGGTTAGCCTTTTAAATGTCCTTTGTTTGTATGTGACAAGTGGGTGGGTAAGCCTCCTAAATGTCCTGTGTTTGTATGTGACAAGTGGGTGGGTAAGTCTCCTAAATGTCCTGTGTTTGTATGTGACAAGTGGGTGGGTAAGCCTCCTAAATGTCCTGTGTTTGTATGTGACAAGTGGGTGGGTAAGTCTCCTAAATGTCCTGTGTTTGTATGTGACAAATGGGTGGGCTAGCCTCCTAAATATCCTGTGTTTGTATGTGACAAGTTGTTGAGTCACCTTACTAAACACCATTATAACAATTTATGAAATGGTTCCTAAATCTGACCTGAGAGTATAAAAAACAATAGGAACATTAGACATGTGCTATAATTATATAAGGTTACTGGGTGAACCGGTGAAAGGTGGGGTATATATGCATGTAGACATTACAATAATAAGTATACTTTGTATTGTTCTATAAACAAATTGATTTGTTGACCGTGTTAAACACCAGTTATTTTGTTTTATCAGGCTGCAGGTTCAGTAACAGAGTTAGCTTGTCGTGTAGCAGTAGGAGAATTAAAGGTAAGAGTCCTCTCTTTTTCCCAATTATTTAAAGTTCAATGAATAGTCTGTACACAGAATCTGGGTATTTGGGTCAAATGTCCACCCTCTGTTAGATCATTGATATACAATAGCTAGCCAAGTAGTTTGAGGAAGTGATGGATGGCTCGAACATCTCTAAGTGCCATCTCTTGACAATTTTTGAATTTGGGAAATGAGATATCAAGTTTGTAGAAGGAGCTGTACCTAATCCTTTTAACAAAATCTGGGCAGCATCAAATCTGACAATTACATCAACACCTTAATTAGAATTAAGAATTGTCAGATTTTGGGATCCTAAAAGTAACTAATTATTTTTAAAATCACATGCTTGCTATGCTCTAATAATGTGACAATTATAAAGAGACTTGACTGAGCCTATTCAAGGGACATAAACTTTGTGACAAAAATCTGTTGTCATAAAAAAGAAATTCAGTAAGTAATAATTGAATTAGACATGTCCAAGAGGAAAGAGAATTTTAGGCAAGCAATGACAAGATAGAATTTTTATCAAAGATATTACTCCCCCCCCCCCCCCCATTAATGTAAATACTGTTGGGTATTCCTTAAAAAAATGAAATGAATAAAGTTGCAGTGAAAACCTGATATTCAGAAACTAGTAATGGCCACTTTCGACTATGATAGTGATAGGTTTCATATCAAGTGGTGAGTTACTGTCTGGGCAGAATTTGCCTCATTACACACCACATGGTATATATCTGTCATCATTGAGTCAAGTTGTGTGGTTTCGATTCCCCACTTGTACTTAAAAAGGAGTAAGATCGCTTGTCAACCTCAGGTCCTCCAGTTTAATAACACTGTTAAAGACCCCTATGCTCAAGCGAATTATTGAAATGAAATAAAATCATGTGTTAGTCCCGAAATGACCTAGTTTGTGTCAAATGAACATTAAACTAGTGGTAGGGAATCCTTATTTGATATCATTACTAATTTATTTATAAAATTCACAACACATCTTGTATACGTGAAAAAAGAAAATCCTTGTAGAAGTTATTAATGAAATATTTCGGAAGTTACATAATATTTATATATTCATATGTAATCTTTATTGCATATTCTCAGTATTACCTGGAGGCTCTTGTTTAAAACTTATTTTAAATTCAAAACTGATTGAAAGTAAGATGTACCCATTCATACCACACATAGACAGATTGTTCTATAGGTGATAGACAATAACAATGATATTATGCTACCTTGTGTAAATTATGCAAATAGTTTCACCTTAATCGTGAATAAATGATATGTCTGGGTGGTTACGGTTATGCATGGTAACAGTACTCTAGTCAACAGTGCTGATCAAATGATTAATTGATCCCTGAAATGAAATGGGGTTTTAACATGCTGCTATTCTATACTGATGTCTGGATAATCTATGGTGTATTAGTAGCATTAAATATAATAACCAAACATAAACACTGTATGGACCAGGAACCAATCATGGCGTCATCACGGCCATCTTGGAACTGTGATGTCATATCAAATATCAATGTCTGTCAATCGCTGTGCAATTTATCCAAGGAACGAGCATGCCAAGTTTTGTGTCAATTGTATGTGAATTGGCAGAGTCTTAAGCTTTTTTCGAAGAGAATCGCCCTCAATAAGAACAAAATAAGTAGAGCATGGGGCCAGTTCCTGACGAAAAATCTGAAGAGAAAGTAAAGCTACCTTGATTATCCAGTGGCTATAGTCATGCTCATATTGAGAAATGACCAAGCCTCGACATTAGGGACCCATCTCAGACATTGTCAGACACAAATTCAGGATTTGTCAGATGTGTACAATCCTTCTGTTGTATGATAATTTGTGGCTGACACTGACTATGACAGGTGCCTTATATCCAAGCTTATGGTATATATTACGTTGTATGATAATTTGTGCCTGACAATGTCTGTGACAGGTGTCTTATGTCCAGACTTTGAAATGACTCTTGAGAAGGGCATTCAACAAAAAAAAAGAATGCACAACATATAAATCCTGGTTTTACAGCCTATATAAGTAGAATTAACAGCTCACAAAGTCAGCGTTTTTCTGTGCTTAGCAAATTGCATGCATAAAACACAGATGTAATATCTGGCAATTTCCCTTTAAATAAAACAAAACATCAGATCTAATGAATTGATACTGTTCTATTCACTGATCTACACACCAGCAGACGTCTTGGCACACAGCCAATTATGCAGTACAACAAAAACAAAATTTCAGAAAAAACTTGTTTAATTTTGGTTTGGTTAGGAAATATGACTTTTTGGCCAAAGGGATAATGATATTAAATGGTGTTGGAAGTGGAAAATTTTGTCCTTAATACAAAACTCTGACATTTTAGTTTCAACCTCTTTGCACTAGGTTAAGTAGTGATGCATTCTTTTGAAACACTTCCAAAGCAATCATATTTTGTTTTCGTTAAATCATGGTGCTGTAATAGAATTTGTGGGGGAAAGTAATCATAGTATTAATAGAAATATTCGTGATGGAGAAAATATTAAGAAAATAGAACTTAAAGATATGTACCCTTGAGATTAATTAGGTCATTATTTGATATTTCTTATGACATGTAAGATAAAATAGACATTATTAGTAGACTCACAATAAAATAAATAAATTTTCTGTACCTGTCTAGGCTCTACTAGAACAATGTCAGTTTGATGGGTTTGCTATAGAATTTTATCGTCACAGATAAAGCTCTTTTGTGTATTTATGGATAAAGCTCTTTTGTGTATTTATGGATAAAGCTCTTATGTATTTATGGATAACAGGGTTTAAGGTCCACTTGACACAAACTAGGTCATTTTGAGACTAACATATGGTTTAATTTTATTTCAATAATTCGCTTGGGCGTAGGGGTCTTTAGCAGTGGGAGGAAACCGGAGGACCCGGAGAAGACCCAAGAGGTTAGACAGGCGTCCCTACTCCTTGTCACGTACAACCAGGGATTTGAAACCACGCCAGTTAAAAAATTGACTCAATGACAGGCTTTATGATACAGCGCGCACGTGCTTACCATTCGGCCATCCAACCCCCCTATTTATGGATAAAGTGCTATCTTTTGTTTATGGGTTTATAAAGATCTCTTTTGTATTTATAGGTTAATAAAGCTCTATTTTGTATTTATAGGTTAATAAAGCTCTATCTTGTATTTATAGGTTAATAAAGCTCTATCTTGTATTTATGGGTTAATAAAGCTCTTATCTTCTATTTGAAGGTTACACACCTGTAAGAATGAAAGTTGCCAAGTTTCACTAAAACCAGTAACTAAACAGATAAAAAGCTTCTTGCTAAAATATAAATTTATATCAGTGACATTTTCACGCTCGTTCGAAACTTAATGAAGGGCCAACTCCATGCTTTTAGCTTGAAGTGTTCTTGTTGCATGTGTTCATGTTGTGAAGGTGATTACGTTATAATGTATACTAGGCATATAGGATGTGTACCGTCTATATGATATAGATCCCATTGACGTAATAAATTTATCTAGTTTCACTGTTTGCTCTTATGAAAAGTTATTTAGGGATGAATTTTCTATAAATATCGCTATGTATAATACCCAAGATTTAGATGAAAGATAACCAGATGTATAAGGACCTCTCAGTACAATTGTGGTATTCGATCTGTCATTCAGTACAGTTGAGTTTCTTCGATCCTCGACTTGTATTTGGAAAGAAATAGTGTCTCGCCTGCCTAACCATGTGGGTTTTCTTTGTGGGTTTTGGTTTCCTTTCAATCCATGCAAATTTTGTTTTAAAAAAATAGTTCCATGTGTTAGTCTCTGTTTGACTCTCAAATTTGGACACAATCTAATACAAACATTTAAATGTCAATATTACATCAATAAAATTAAATCAAAGTTTAAATTCTTAATTTCCCTAACATAATTTACTACATGTTCCCTAGCACAAAATTTACTATCCTGACACATAATTTACTACATGTTTCCTGGCACATAATTTACTACATGTTCCCTGGCACATAATTTACCTAATACCAGGTTAATTACCATGTTTACATTCCTGTCTTCAAAGTTTACATTTTCATGAGATAACAAAGCATGCGTTTAAAAATAAACATAAATGAAGGATCAAAATTTAATTCGGTACCATAGACTGTGCTGGTGTATGTACATGCATCCTCCTGGAAAGGTGCAAAGGAGATAGAAATGAATTTTTGCAGAATACATAGTTGCCTGCTTCCATTTAGATGGATTTAAAACCATTCAGATATTCAGCTATTCTGATCACATTCAGATAACTTTAATTTTCCCTTCTGCTTTCTGTCTTTGAAGTCGCCTATCCAACCTCGTGGGTTTTCTCCGGGTCCTCCGGTTTCCTCCCACTGCTAAAGACCCCTGCGCGCAAGCGAATTATGTAAATAAAATTAAACCATATGTTAGTCCCGAAATGACCTAGTTTGTGTCGAGTGGAAGTTAAACCCCATTTCTCTCTCTCTCTCTCTCTTTCTCTCTCTCTCTCTCTCTCTGTGAAATGGAATACTTTTCTGCACTGACAGGACTAATAAAGGCGAGCATACATCATTTTACATTGCACCATTTTGCTTTAAAATGTGATACATGTTTTTTTTTATGAGCCATACCACTCCCAAACAACAAAGCCCAAGTGAATGAATATGATGATGAGTGGTGTGTGAATGATGTTTAAAGTCTGGTAAAACCAAAATAGAAGTCTGTTTACTTCTATGACTGATATTTGAGAAGAAGTGAACAATGTCACACTGACCTGGCTTGAGTTTTTTTTTTTTTTTTAATAAACTAAAAATCAAGCAGATGCCAAAAAACCCATTTGTAATGAAAAGTTGAACCTAAAGTAACAAAACTAGATTTAATTGAGTAATTTTAAGTGGAGAATCCAATCTTGGGAGGAACCAATATTTTACAAACATTATATCATAATGCACAGCTGATAAAGAATTTGGCAAAGTAAAAAGGCAGACATTACTTGAGAACTGGCAGAGTGAAAACAAATTCACTTACAAAAAAGTTTCCAACATTCTGAACTTAAAATAGACATTCATTCGTCAAAACACTTATTCTTACTGAATAATACATTCATTTGTCAACACTGTTGAATTATATATATTCTTATATATACTCTGCATTGTGCATGACACCTGCCTCAAACTATTAGTAAAAAATAAATCAGATGAATAGTGAACTACCAGAAAATAGCAATAAAAAAGGACAGTAGTTACAGACATGACACGTGGCTCAGTCATTCAGATTGCTAAAATAAAGAAAGATGCCCTCTTTTTGTTGTAGAAAAGTTAAAAAGATTACTGTTTTTTCTTCCTCTACTCCATTCCATGTAAATGTGTTTTAACTAGACGCCATTACACAAATTATCTTACCACTCAATCGACAAGTAGAGACGAAGGTCACGCTAACCTCAACATACACAAACCTAAAGAAACTTTCTACTGACAGAAATGCAACATCTGCCTCAGAATGTTTTAAATTCTTTTTGACAAAAAACAACTATTAATGTATCTTTCTATCCAGGTAGCAAACCTGCATATTTTTAAAATAAGATATATATTCAGAAATGTAGAAAATTAAACGGTTTCAAAGGTGCCTAAAGTACTGGATTCTATCTGTGGTAACTTAAAGATACAGGATTCTATCTGTGGTAACTTAAAGATACATTATGTAAGAGCCAAATCTGCATTTTGCAGATCCTTCTTTTGGCATTAAATGTTATATAGATATTAATTTAGACATTTATTCACATGACAAGCCCATACATAATTAACTCTCAGGAACATCAGATGGTTGTGATTTTGAATGGATTGACACACAATCGCGATTTAATAATTTAATTTAAAAATGGATAATTGAAACTTTTTATTATCGTAGCATTGAAAATCAAGACTAGGCTATTCTACAAACAGTCATAATTTCTCTCAGAGTGAAGTAGTTTGACTGAAATTTTCAATATATTCATTTTTCATTATCTATTTTTAAACTATTCTAGTGAGAACTGTCAAGTCTTTATCTTAATCTTACATAATGCATCTTAATATTTAGAATATGATCTTGCCTGTAAAAACAGGGTGTTGGATGGCTGAATGGTTAGCGTGTGCGCGTTGTATCACAAGGTCTGTCATTTAGTCAACTGGTGTGGTTTCGATTCCCCGGTTGTAAGTGACAAGGAATAGGGTCGCCTGTCCAACCTCGTGGGATTCTCTCCGGGCCCTCCAGTTTCCTCCCACCGCTAAAGCGCGCAAGTGAATTATTGAAATAAAATTGAATCATATGCTAGTCCCGAAATGATCTGGTTTGTGTCGAGTGGACGTTAAACTCTCTCTCTCTCTATGTAAAAACAATCTTGGCATACTGTAGTGTAGACCTAATTATCAATACTGAATTTGGGGGATGGAGTGGAGACCTCTGTAAATATAAAAAAAAAACCATTGGAACCTCAAAGTTTTATGAATGTAAACCATAGCCAATTATTTTTTCCATTTACAGAATGGATTAGCCATTGTTAGACCACCAGGACATCATGCTGAAGCTCATCAACCAATGTAAGTAGTTGTTATATTATTCACTGTCACCTGTCAAAACCATACATTCATCTATACAAATCTAATCACATTATTATTTTAGATTTTTTTCAAGGCCTCATTTAATGCACATTTATTCCTGAACAATTCTATTAAAATGTAATATGGAATTACATTGTGAAAATTGTTTTTGTTCCGTATGAGCTCTGATAAATTTATTGAATTATTTCGATCAATTCTGAAATGATTGTATCTTGTACTTTTTCATAATTGTTTTTTTTATTATCGCAGTTATTATTTGAAAGCTCCACAGATTATTCAGACTATCAACGTTATAATAAATGATGATGATTATTTGTTTTGTAGGGGTTTTTGTTATTTTAACTCAATAGCTATAGCTGCTAAACAGTTAAAAGAAAAATGTAATACAAAGAAAGTACTTATAGTAGATTGGGTAAGATATATTTAGTTTCCCAATAATTCATCTGTAGTATCGATTGATAATGATAATGTGCGCCTAATCCATCCAAGTTGTATGCTCTAAGTGCGGTCTTAAGTCACTGGCTACTGTGGCTAATACATCATGAACATATGTCTCTTTAAGCCTTCATTTAAACTGAGCATTCGATCTGAACATAATTACTTTATGGATGTCATTGCACAATCGCAGACTGTATACACTAAAAGATTAATTACTTAACATTTAAAAAAACAAAATCCAAAATATCAAAAGTAGATAGTCTTACGACATTGATTCAATCTGATGAACAAGATTTGACCCAACTGTCTTGTTTATATATGACTCTTTAGACAATACAAACTTTCAATACTTCATATCTTTGTAAAAATTCAAAATTATCATCTATTTTGTGGTGAGAGTGACATGAATCTGGAATATATACTTGGAAATTTTTATAATTTTTTGTCAGTACAACTTAGCAGCATTTCAAATCAGATAATTTGTGTTAAAATTATATTGAGAAATGTGACTTTTATTTCAGGATGTTCATCATGGAAATGGAACACAACAAATGTTTTATGACAATCCACATGTTTTGTACATATCAATTCATCGTCATGACAACGGTCATTTTTTCCCTGGAACCGGTGCACCTGATGAATGTGGTGCTGACAGTGGTCAGGGTTTTAATGTAAACATAGCTTTTGGAGGAAGTCTTAATCCACCTATGAGAGATGCGGAATATTTGGCGGCCTTTAGGTATGGAAGATTTTCATTTTGACCAATACTATTTTATAATCTTATTTGATTGGCATTTAGTAATTGAACCGTGGTACCCCTTGTCAGTGATGCAGGACGGAGGGCCTGATAAGGACAGCTGTCTAGTCATTCGGATGAGACGAAAAACCGAGGTCCCGTGTACACATTGGCGTGCACGTAAAAGATCCCTTGACAGGTGGAATTCGATATAAGAGTAGGCCGTAGTGCCGCTGTCCGAGCAAAATTTCCCTCATAGCACACTGTATGGCGTATGCCCGTCTTCATTAGCCCAGTTCGGAGCAAAACAGTAGGACGTTAAACCCCATTTCATTTCATTTAGTAATTGAACATATTAACACAATTTTATGGATCAATAATTACTGAGTTTAATCCTCGTTGAAACGTGGCTTAGTATTAAACTTAGTAATTGTGTATCCATAAAATTGTACGTTGTGTTACTATTTTATTTTATTGGAAATAAACGAAATGAGAACACTCAGTGGGTGTTTATTCTTTACCATGTTCAACTCAGTCCTGCACACAACCGAGGTTTGGCCAAATCCAGCCTGACAAGGACAGTCTTGTGTTAATTTTTATCTGTCACAACTATTGATCAAAACGGTATATTTTTAGAATAAGTTTCAGCCATGCACAAGATAATTATGACCTTGGATGTGATGTTAATTGTCATTTACTAAGCTTAAAGCTTATTTTGACATGTGATCTTTCATGAGCTGTTAATTATCGGATCAAAGCTGTAAATAGAAGTAATTCTAGATTAATCATTTATCAAAACAAAAAACAAAATCAAAAAATTACAGTATAATTGTACATGAATTGGTATTGTTTTATAGGACGGTTGTAATGCCGATAGCTCGAGAATTTCGACCAGAAATTGTGTTGGTGTCGGCAGGTTTTGATGCCGCCAAAGGTCATCCACCACCTCTTGGAGGTTATGAAGTTAGCTCGACATGTAAGTTCCTGTCTTTACTTTTATAGATTAAAACTTGAAATGTAGTATATGTTTTAGGAGGAGGTGTAGTATATGTTTTAGAATAGAGTGTAATACGTACAAGAGGAGGAAGATGTATTTTGTTCAAAGATACATTATGGGAGATAAGATAAAGAGATAGCAGTTCTCGCTATAATAGTTAAAAACTAGACAGTGTAAAGGTAATTTGCTGAAAATTTCAGTCAAATTGATCCACTATGAGCCGAGAAAGAAGCGTGTGAAATTTTTGCATAGTCTCGGTCATCATTACTAAAATCATTAATATAAACAGCATAGTCTCGATTATCCACTTTTTCTGATTTAATTATCTTTGGCCGTTAGCGGCATATAGGAATCTAATCCAGCCTACATCGAAGGCTAGCCTTGACATCGAGAGTTTATTATGGTCTGGATAAGTTAATTAATGTCTAATTGATAATTTAGATAACATTTTAGGCCTAAAGAAAGACTTGTAATAAGCAGATTTTGCTCTTGCATAATGCATGTTTAAATAAAATAAATGTATATATTATATGTTTATATTATTCTATAGGTTTTAGTCATATGACAAGAGAGTTGATGGCATTAGCTAATGGTAAAATAGTTCTATGTTTAGAAGGAGGTTATGATATACCTAGTATATGTTCAGCATCAGAAGCTTGTGTTAAAGCTCTACTAGGGGATGAGGTAAGTCCACAATTTTACTTTAATTCTTTTCCTTTAAAGACTCTGTGCATCATTTCCATTTACAAAAAATATACCAAATTTTCTATAGCTTAATCCACTATAAAATGTAAAGTCAAAATCTCCTGTCTTTGATTCAGTCTGACTAAGACACACATCAAAAGATTTCAGCAAAGATTACAGGTAGCGTTGACTTTTGATCATATTCCGCCTATATCACCTGCAGAGGATACCAGATGATGTCAGATTTTCAGTTAATGATATTTTTGTAAATACTAAACAGAAATGAACCATATTTGGATTAATATTCCTGTCAGAGATTCAACTTTCACAACATTGTAGTTTACAACGGATTCCTCAATCCCTCATATGCAAAACTGTTATAATTTAGAAATGAAGAATTGGTGCTAGATTCTTGTCTTACCATTAATGATCGAAATAATGTGGTTCAGTGTTTTAAATTTTTGGTCTGTATTATGTATAAATGTGGTTTGAATTTGGTATTTTATAGAGACAGCCTTTGAACCATGTGTAATGTCAATCACTGATGACATTAATATATATGTATATTAAAACTATTTATTGTGATATATTTTTACAGTTGGATTTACTGGAAGAAGAATCACGACGTAAACCATGTCAACCAGCCCAAGATAGTTTAGAAACAGCAATAAGAATACAAAGTTTGTATAGTTTTAGTATATCTCTTTGTTTTTAATTGGTTCCGTTCAGGAAAGGGAGGTTAAAGTCTCCAAATGGTATGACTTGTGTGCTGTAGAATATAAGGCTGGTTGTAATGCAAGTCATGGGGTCGATCCCAGGTTCTGATAAGGAGTAGAATTTCCTGCCTAATGTTGTGGCTTTTCTGCAGGATCTCATTGGAAAAGCTAGAAAAATATCAGTTAAAGTGTCAGTCAGGATCCACCACCCCTCATGTTAGGCTAAGATATTTTCCACCCCCTTGCAAATCAATATAGTGAAAATGTTACTATTCTGTATGTTTATTTTTTTTCAGCACGCCATTGGCCATGTGTTAAACGATATCTAGGAACAATTGATTATTCATTACTGGAAGCACAGACTAGAGAAAGAGAAGAAGCAGCCACAGTTAGTGCCCTTGCCTCACTCTCTATGGTTCCAGAAAAGAAAAGGTAGATATGACTTTTGAAAATATTTGGTGTAATTCAGAAATCAACTGACCTGTACCGGTAATCCATCTTTTGCCAGTAATAATTAGAAGTCTTAAATTGATGCAAACTCGTTGCGATTATCCATTTTACACATTTAATAGATATTTATTTTGTGGGTGAAGGCTGATTTCTCTTTAATTGAAGTCAATCTATGGTCCTAACACAGTAAATTCTGTACTAAGGTTTGTGAAGAAGATGCTCTCTCCGTCTCCTTCTGTTGATGGTACAGTCACATGGTGGTCACCTGTCTGGTGTCCATTCATCTAAATATAAATAAACTGAGTTACTATCCTTTATAGTGTTGTCCCATTACCCAATGCTCACTTTCATTGAGGAGCCACACCTTCAGTTTTGCCGTATCTAAGAATATCAGTAGATCACTGGTCCAGTCTAGATCACTTGTCTAGCCTAGATCACAGGTCCAGCTTCACTGGTCCAGCCTAGGGCACTAGTCCAACCTAGATCACTGGTTCAGCCTAGATCAATAGTCCAGTTTAGATCACTAGTCCTGCCTAAATCAATGCCCCTGCCTAGATCACAGGTCCAGCCTAGATCACTGGTCCTGACTAGATCAGAAGTCCAGTCTAGGGTCCAGTCTAGATCACTAGTCCAGTCTAAATCATGGGTCCAGCCTAGATCACTTGCCCTGTCTAGATCATTTGTCCAGCCTAGATCACTGGTCCATCTTTGCTAATGATAACTGCGGGAGGAACACAACACAGAACGTTTAAGTAGAAAGCCAGGAGGCATAGTTCACTAACTAAACAAAAACCCTGACTATGTACATAAGCTATAATCATAATCACACCATCAAATCAAGTGAATTGATCAGGGTGTAATTGTTCACTCGGGTTAGGTTGACTAAAAATTCAGAACATAAAAAGAAACGAAGTGCACACTATATTAATAATTGGTCTGTTGGTCACATATCAATTTTTGTCAACATTTGAGTTGTGATGTATAAAGTCTGATCCCAGCATTAATTTCAAGTCGGACCAGACTGAGGTTTAGACACTTAATTGTGAGATTTTAGAAGTCTCTGGAATAAAGAATATCTGTTTGAAATTATGGAACAATTTTGTTTTGCAGTAGTTCAATTGAACGAGAGTCGGAACCAATGGAGGAGGAATCGTAGATTATGTAAACTTTAGAGTTACCTTCACCATAAACCACAGTGAGGCTGCTACTAAAACGCGGGGGTGTTACACATAAAACGGGGTAGTTAGCTGTAGTTCAACCAAAACCAGATGGAAAACTTTTGACAATATATACGCAAGTCCAAGAAACCATTAACCTTCCTATTGGCATGTGAACTTTCTACTGCAGCAGCATACTTCTTGTGATCCTCTTCACCTCCAGGAAGAAACTTTGTGCTGGTTTGTGATGATGATAAACAAGATTAGAAATAAAACAACATCCATGTGCAATATTTTGAAATCAGGTGAATTGCTCTGAATTTGGTATGTGCATGAAATGACACAAAGAATGTTTTTTTTTCACAAAAAAAAATGAATATACCATCGAGGACGAAACGTTTGGAATCATTATAGAGATTGCTCATTATCATGACAGCTTTTATTTAGTTAAATTTTTTAAAGTTCACATGCCCAGATTTGTTGTTTGTAGAAAAGATAGTTACAACTTTGGCGACCAATTTCCCAAAAGTAATAAATTTCTACAAATGTAATGTAAATATGAAATGAATTTCTGTTAATATGTATTTATTGTGATAGATTATTATAACAGTGACGTGATGTTGTGGCCACTACACTCCCCCTTCCCCCAGCTCCCCACTCCTCCCCATCACCATCCTTGAGTCTGCTTAACGTATGTTTCTATGGTGACAGTGTCAGTGTTGTTAACTATATATCTATATATATAAAAACAAGATGGTGGACTCGATGTTTCTGTGTTAAGAACGATTAATAAACATCACGATTTTGTCTCAATATATTATATAGATAATAACGTTTACGAAAGTGCTGTTAATCTGTGTTGAGGAAACTGCGGAGGTGTATTTGTTAACGGCAGTTCTGATTTTTAAAAGTGCTGGCTTAAAAGACTAGAAAGAGTATATATATATATATATTTTGTTGTAAAGACTTTGTGTAAATAAATATAGTATATCTATAAAAATATCAGAAATTCCTGGCCATAATCAGTTTATCATATAATTAGCCTAGGTTTGAAAATTTCGTTAGAATTATGAAATAGTTATTTGATGTTGTCGAATGTGTCACTGTTTCGTTGTCGTGTCATCATGCTTCGTCTCCATCATTACACAGGACAGAAGACGTGTACTTTAAATCCACTACTACTTATTATTATTATTATTATTATTATCATAGATCTGTTAAATGTCAATCAACAAGGGGAATAACTCCAACAATTGTTAACGTTGTATGTTGTAAAGTTTTTCGTTCCCGTGCCGTGGTGAAATTGTGTACAGATATTAATATATGTTTTTGTCCTTTATCTTATATACCATTGTAGAATTTAGTTGTTTAAAATAGAGCTCTGTATATTTGATATATCAGTTGTTAAGTTTGAATGTAACCTTTGACCTTTGACCTCAGAGGTTGTACATAATACCTGTTATTGTTTGTTTTTTGACCAGTTTATTGTTGAGCTCACCATTTAAATCTCCCCTTGGAAAAAAAAAAAAACTTTAGCAAAATTTTCCTTTCGGAATTTATTAATTAAAGGGGTTTTGTACAGTCATACTCTATACGGCTTATTTTCTTGAAAATAAATATCAAAGCCATGTATGGTATGTACTGTTCCTCTCTGGTGATTGGTTGGTTAAAATTTGCTCCAATATCATTGGACACTTGTTATGTAAATATGATCATATGATATTGACCCATTTTAATGCGAAAAACGGCTGTGACAGATATGTACGGTAGAAGAGCAGGTTAGGTTATTAGGGGCCAATAATAAAAATTGTGAAGTTGGGAATAGATTCCCTCTTAAATAAACCACAATTAAATTAGACAGGGAGCGGATGATTGACTATGGCACTGGACTTTTATAGACTGTCTAAAGGGACATAAAACACCCCATGCCTGAGAATTTTATTTGAAATGATAAATATTTTGTTTTTCAACCACATAGATTTAAATCTATAAATCAAGTTAGATCGTGAAATTTAAAATTTATTGCAACTATTTTAAAAATTGATCAAGCCTCTTGTCATTATTAAACTATATTAAGAGAGAAGGAATACTCCTCACAAAGCTATTTTTAATATTGGCCTCAACTGATAAGGACTTTAAACAACATTGTTAATTATATTATACATTGTACATGTTTCAAATCGCATCATATATATTATATATATATATATTATATCTCACTAATGTTTTAAAACAACCAATAGAATTCTTTAATAGTTTATATGTCAAACCTTTTTCAACATACTGTAGAAATCTAGTCAAAACACATTCTATATTTTATAGTGCACCATTATTTGTAAGAGATTTATAATATCATTTGTTTACATTATTTTAAACACTTGTCAATTAACCATGGCATCTAGTGCTCTCATTAACAACATTTTCTCACTTTAGTGACAGCAGATATTCTACTAATGTGACAATCAATTTATTTTAATTGTTTAGTGCTTTTCAGAATAAAATCCATGGTTTTTAAATGAAAACGACAAAATTACATCCTTGATTTTTATAAAAGGGGTGAAAGCTCTTTGTTTAGGTCAAACTAAAGATCGATTAAGCCGTGAGAATTTTGATGTTTTAGCGAAAATGATGCATTTGCGTGAAGACATCATGTGAGGCTTCTGCGAAGAATACAATAAACAAAAAATACAAGGATATTTGGTCCTGTGACATGAAATCTACATTAAGATACATCATGGACCTTAAGGTTCATGGATACATCCACAAGGCTTTGGTCTGCAAAAGATACCCAGATTATTTACTGAAATTATGAAAACTCGGCACTATTCAATTTTCATTTTGTCTGCTGTTATACATTTTTTGAATAGTCTGAAAATTTCTAATCCAATAAATATCATTATTATTATTCATGACTTAGTAAGAGATTCAAATGAAATATTTCCATTGTAACTAAAGACACAGATTAGTATTAGAATATGAGATTTAATGTGGCCTAACAATTTAAAGGATCATAAGCAATCAGATGTCAATTTATGATTGATTAAACCGGTTAAAACTCTTCCTTGAGGCCTTCCACTACCATTAAACTACTGTTAGTAAATATTGAGTTAATATTGTTGTATTTAATTGGTTTTATCACTAAAGCCAAATGTATGAAATATTTGACATGGTGAATATCGACTCAATCGTCCAATAATGTGATAGTAGTATGATATTAGGGTAAGGCAAAGATGTGAGGTATTGAGAAGGAAAAGGAATTACGAACTCATATATACTTAATCAATACATTGAGTTATCTTCCCCTTGTTCCACTAACGTTAGCTACTTTAATATGATGCTGTTACTATCACAATAATGAACGATCAAGTCAATGTTACATTCTTAACCAAACCTTGATACTTAGTTGTTTCAAGACTAGATTTTCAACGTTTGTCATTTTAGGTTAGGAATAAAAATTGACTGCACAAATTTGAGTCATATAAAATTTACAACTTCTTCTCTGCTTGTGACCTTTGACCTGTGAGAAACAGGAACTTTTTTTTCCGAGTTTTATTAGTCTGAAGAAGTATTTGTTAATAAAAAGAAATGTTTCTTGTGGCTTCTGTAAAAGTTTTACCTTTGACCTATATTTAATATAGCCATGATCTTTGAACTTTGACCTGTAATTAATATGGCCATGAACAAATTGATATGTTACCTTTGACCTATAATTAATATTTATAGGGTTTGACATAAATATATTTAATTGTAATTTGGTTGTCAGCATAATGTGAAGAGTTAATTGTGTTGTATCAATATTTGTGATGATATAAAGGCTACTTAAACCTTTAGTAGATAACGACCCCTGAACCTTGAACCCCTGCCCCGAACATTTTCTTGTTGTTAAATGTATGTTTATCTTTTTGATCAGAAACAAACACACGTCGATATTAGTTAAACTACCACCTAATTTGTTAAATTAGAAGACTTGCTATCATTTCATATTATTATCCATTTATGGTCATGCTACACCTTATTTCATTTGTTATACTCATTTTCATTGGTCCAGGACGTAAACTTTTGAAAACTGTGCAAAAATATGACATTATATGCCAAATTTTCGGTGCTGTAAAACTATTTCTATTAATCTGTCACTTTTTATTCTTTTCTCTTGAACATAAATATTCTTTGAAGAAATATATTTGTTTCTTTTTGGTGGTTCAAAAATTTCAAATAAAAAAATCATTTTGATTGACTATTTGAAGTGACATGATTAAACCTTGGATATGAAATGAAATTGTTTTTTTTTTACACTTCCTAATAGGATACTTCAATTAATTTATTGAACAGAATCTCTTTGATTTTGGTCACAGTTTGGATTGGTTTGATCAGTTGTGTTCTTTTGACGAGAGATGGAGAATGTTCTAGATCAAGTTTTCATTTTACCAGGTCAATTGATCTGTTTATTGGCTTTAATCACTGAGGAGAATTTTACAAAGACCCAATCTCGTAAACACATCCACATCAATTTAAATTCTTTCGTCATCCAAATCATGGATTTGTTTAATTAACAATTTGGTTGTTTGCCATCAAATTTAACTTCAAATGGGGGAAAACGTTATTGTAATATTTATGTATAAGACACATATTGAAATTTATTTGTCTGGATAGTCAAGTCTACTAAAATGTTACGACTTATTGTTAACTTTTATGTGGTCAAATCTGTTTTGGGAATATAAACTACTGGCATTATTGACTTGACTTACTGACAATAATAAATCTCCTATTACAGATTACAATCAACTGATATATTAGTTTATTTAGATATGTATTGCACTACTACCGGTAGTCGAGATTAAAAAAGGTGTAGACTTGAACATCACAATTGAAACATTAAATCACATTTAAGGGGATTCTACTCTAAATAGGTATAAGTTTAGCTATGGACATCATAATTAATGTTACTGCAGGTTTTATTTTATTTTTACGTACCTGGATGTCATTGTCTGCTCATGTTTCTATTCTATTTATAACCCTGTGACATCACTGGCATTCAAATTAAATATATGTTATTTCATGTTACTAAATATAGAATTACCATCTTCATTAGAGCGTGATACTATCTGTCTATTTATCTTGCTTTCAGTTCAATATTTTGGTACAAATAGCGAAATAAGCCATTTTTAAACTCCGTACAAATATTGTAGAAATGCTGGTCATTTAATGTCAAGTAAAATTTGTTGTCTATGAAACATTTGTCTTTGTTTTTATTCTATAGAGATTTTGTTCACATTTGAATTTATTGGGGGGCAGAAGACAACCAGAAGTTCTTGATCTTTTCTGTAATCATATATAAACAGCAGTGTCGCCGGCCTAAAAGTAGTGGTGGGGGTTGTACGATCTCAGTTGGAATATATCATGTGGTGGGTGTGGCTTATGGTTTACTGATCCCAGAATTGATCTCTAAATTCTCCCAATTTTAAACAATAGGCTTAACAATTAATAAGTCAAATACCCAAAAATAAAATACCTGCACCCTACGGAATATTTACCTTTCAAAATAATATGTCAAAGCCCGTCTGGCGAGAATTGTCTATATTATGTGTCTTTTCGAGTTGTAAAACTACCTGGAAATTATGGAAATGACCTTTCCAGAAAAATAAACGGGAAGGTTTCTGACTCCACATCTCCCTATTTGTGAAGAATAACAACAAAGAAGGAACGATCACAAGAAAAATCCTGTGGACGCATTTATCAAAATCAAGTAATAGACTACTAGTATTAGAATATGGCATATTTTGAACATAGTGAAGGATACCATAACTCAAGATACATGATAATGTCTGTCACTCAGGCAAGTTGTGTGGTTTTGAGAGAGAGAGACAAATGGGGTTTAACATCCACTCGCCACAAACCAGGTCATTTCGCGACTAACATATGGTTCAATTTTATTTCCATAATTCGCTTGCACGTAGGGGTCTTAAGCAGTGGGAGGAAACCGGAGGACCCGGAGATAACCCACAAAGTTGGACAGGCGACCCTACTCCTTGTCACGTACAACCAGGGATTCAAAACCACGCCAGTTGACTCAATGACAGACTTTATGATACAGCACGCACCAATCAGCCATCCAACCGCCTGTATGGTTTTGATTTCCTGCTTGTATGCAACAGGGAGTAGGATCAACTGTCCAACCTCACAGGTCTCCCCCACTTCTTAAGACCCCTATGCGCATAAGAATTATTGAAATTAATTTGAACCATGTGTTAGACCCAAAATGACCTAGTTTGTGTCGAGTGAACATTAAACCCCATATCTCTCACTCTCCATTACTCAGTTATATTCAGTATTATTTCCTGATCCATTCTGCATCTTTAAATCCACAAGAAGCAGACTTTATCCAGATTTCTTCTGTCTGCCTAACCTTACAGTTTTTATACGCTCACATATTATGTTGTCAGTCGGTCCACAATTTGTTTGTTGGAATTCTGCAGGTCACAGTTTTTATCCATTTTTGACGAAACTGGATATATGGGTCTATCTCCCAAAGATCTCGGTTCCTTTCGATATGGATTATCGCCCCTAAAAATTACGTTTTTAGCTTGTGGACACTCTACAGGTCACAATTTTTTTGATCCAATTTTGATGAATCCCAAAGATCTCAGTCCCTTTCAATATTTGCAGCATTTCAGACCATAACCTTCTGGCTTATGGCCGCTGATTGTATGAAAACACGTTTTTGTTTTTAGCTTGTTTTCTATCCATCTCTTGTAAAATGTGGGGTATCTTGCCTGGCAACCGCTGGTTAGCAGTTTATCTCCAGGTTACGACCTACTAAGGAGTGTTTTGTCATCTTATACATGCCTAGTCCTGAATGAAATGATTCCATTTTGTTCTTGGATCAAAGTTTCCTACAATAATGGCCTCTTAAACAAGTGAAAAGGACACTTTAAAATAACTGTTGATCACAGAAATTGAGAGAGGGAGAGATAAATGGGGTTTATAGTCCACTCAACACAAACTAGATTATTTTGGGACTAACATGTTTCAATTTTACATAGGCATACAGGCTTGATGACTGTTAGCGGGGCAGAACCCGAAATTTCCGAAACAATTTTGGGTTACAGACCTGAAAATTTGACTAACGCAGGCGTGTTTTCCTGCTATTCCAGCCCGTGAATACAGCTACTTCAAAGTGGTCTAATATGGCCTTAGGCGGGGACCTGAATCCCAAATAACCAAACGCCCTCCCGGAGTATATTTTGAAAATCTGACCGCCGCAAATGCATTTCTATGCTATTCTAGCCCATGAATTAAACAGCTTTGAAGTTGTCCAATGGTTTTGTAACCGAAATCCCACAAAGTAGTGTGGCTCCAGACAAAATGTTTTAACCCATAGTCAATTCAAATTTGCAGTATTCAATTAAAAAAATGATTAGTGTTTTATTAATTAGATTTCGGACACTTTATTTTGCCAACTAGATGAAATAATATTTTTGTTGTCACTTTATCTGTCTGCCCGAAAGTTCAATTTTATTTCAATAATTCACTTGCGCGTAGGAGTCTTTAGCAGCGGGAGGAAACCCATGAGGTTGGACAAGGAACTTGACTCAATGATTAATGGGGTTTGTGGAATACACCCCAGCAACAACTGGTAATGTTTCCTCTCACCAACATTTCACACAAAAACAAAATTTCTGTAGCATATCTCTGTCTTAGTCTTAATTGCTCTAGTTAGTGCAGTACTGCAGTCCCATATCAAGAGTTACTGTAGGCTGTAATACTGCTATAGTATTAGGGTAAAATTTTTGTCTTCATTTGCCCAATTGATGCAGAAAAATAAGACCTTAAACCCTTTTTCTTGCATGTCAAAGAGTTTGGAAGGTAACTTTGGGGTAAGTCCTGGATAAGTTCTGAATACTATAGGCCATGTCATACATGGGAGCATGTTCCTGAAGCAACGACTGCGAGTTTCACAACATCTGGCCGTTGCTGGTTTACTTCACAATTCCCGAACTTATAGCTATGTTATCTACAGACACGTGAGCAGTAGCGTCCAATCAGAGGTTGTGACATCACTACCTCCACGGAAACCTTGACATTGAATGAACCTTGAACTTTGCAACTCGATTATCACAGGTAGACATTTTAGCTTGAAAGCGCGAGACTTGGTATTCGCGACGTTCGAGGAATCTGATAGGCTGACAAGTGGGGCTTGTACACAATCGAAATTAGTGCCGCAATATGCAGGGTATTACGTGAAGGCTTTGATAAGATGTATGTAGTTAAAGCGAGGTCAAGCCTTCTATTGAAGATGACATGGGAGTTAACTCCATTTAAACATCTATTTATGAAGACTTTCCAATGTATAAAATACACAATATTATTCAACCAAAAATATGTTTAAAAAGTTTATTATAAAAAAATAGATGGAAGTTGATGAAATATATAAAAACTAAAAATTTGAAATAATGAAAAACTAAATGCAAGAGAAGAAAAACTAATAATCTAAATAAACAGAATGACTGAAGAGAATGTGATGAAGGATTTATGGTCAGGGGCTACTAGTGTAAAATAGAACATGATTATATATATCAAGAACAAAATCTAGAACCTTAAAGTACAGCCCTTCATAACTCACATTAGAAAATTTCCCAGCCTAAAATTCAATGTAAATATTAAATAATTTGTTCCTTTATTTATATAAATGAATAATGAAAATGCAGCATATAGAAGGATATATGTAAAGGTGAGCTTTACTACACTGGAGTTTTACTATAATGTTGATAAGGTCGTCAGTCACTATATAATAGTGAAATATTATACACAATAACTTTAATACAGACAAGGTACCCACATTATAGTAAAAGCCTAGTATACAAGTTTGATCCCACGGTAGAGTATTAATCACCATAACCTAATAAATACCATTATGATAATTAAATACTTTAAACTTGTATACACAAGTTCTATAGTATTATACAGGCAATAGAACAAATAAAACTATATTGGTATACACAAGATGTGAAATAAGCCAAATTAATGGTAATAAGTGACTGAAAGATCAAAATAAATTTTCTACCTAATAATATTTACAAATAGAACACAACCAATGTCTGGCAGTGAAATGAGTATATACCAGTATCCTACCAGCTATGAATAATATATCTTTATTGGGTTTAATTACTGCATAGTTATAATATATGCCTTGATGTGATATCAATGTTTATACATATTCAGATATTTATTGTATCTTTCTATTCAAATTATATTAACTCATATAATTGACAGTGACACAACCTACTTCTGCCTGGTGACTATTGAACGCATAATAATGATTTTATCAGGCACAAATATTTTAAGTCATAATTATTAATCATAACAGAGGCATATCTTATATGAACTCTCAAACTTTATTAAATGAAAGGATTGTATTAGGCATTAATTAACTTTATCTTTAACATATCACATTAAACTACACCAATGTATTATTGAATCTTAATTTAACCTGCTGTAATGATGCGTACAGTCACAGATATTTTATGTCATAATTATTAATCATAACAGAGGCATATATCTTATATGAACTTTATTAACAGAAAGGATTGTATTAGGCATTAGTTAACTTATCTTTAACTAACACATCACATTAAACGACACCAATGTATTATTGTATCTTATTAATTTAAACTGCTGTATGAATTATCACTGATACTGGTAGTATGGTACTAGTTTAATGATATTTAACACAATAATACATTAGTTGGTCTAACTTCATTCTTATGGGCAACTTGTGCCATTAACACAGGTTGAACTGGATTCTTTTGTGCTAGTTACACCATTTTCACAATCACAATTTTTTAACAGCTGGTTTTGTCTGCATAGTTTTAAGCCAATGGATGGACCTGTATTGATTTCCATCAATTCACGTAATTCCGACGTATAATCAAAGTTTTCAATTACCGGGTATCAATTACAAGGACATGAAATTGATCTAAGAGCACTGATATATAAAAGTCTATGTACAAAAACATATATATCCTTAATAATTATACTATACACTATGTACAAGCTATGGTTTAGTCAGTGTTGTCCAGTAATAGACTCAGTTATCTAGTTAACAAATGGTGAATTGAAGAAATGATTTGGCTTCCTGCTTATTGTCTTGCTCTTGTCACCAAACCTGCAAAAAGAAGTAAATATTTTGTTTTAAAAGTTTGAAATATTTAAAATTTCAAGTAAGCATTTATCATTTACAAGAACAATTAGTAATGTTGTTTGAGACAGAGAATCAAGACGAGCTATCTAGGTTCTTCTTCATAGCTTTTGTTAAAAATAAAATAACTGACAGGAAGTGACATCTTGTCCACACCTGTATTTTGAAACAAAGAGATGTATAATCAAAAGATTGCACATAATAAAAGAAAACTTTATTAGGTGCTAAAATTTAATTAGTTTAAGAATGTTTTTCGTTGACACATTAATTTAATAAACATGTTAAAACAACATACTCTCTATAGTAGAGCTTAGTTAATAACTACATGTGATCTATATCTACCATTCTACAATTAGTCATACAACAAAAACAAATGTTGTTTAACATAGAAGTAAAAAGTTGAGAAAGAATCAACTGTAATATATATGGTAAATATGTACCATCAGGCAGACTAGAAAATTGTCTAAAAAGTAAAAATGCACTTTTCATACAAATAAAGAAAGTTATGTTAATAGTGAAATTGTTTAATTACGTCACAAGCTTTGTGATGTCGTTCAAATACATCACAGAAGATAATGAACTTTACCAGTTCCCAAATATCATTCTTTATTAAATAAAATATTCTTAATACTAAAACAAATATGATTATGCCAGTCTGATTATCTCCTCCAATAATGATTCATTATGGTCCGACTATTTACATAAATAACAAAAGACAAAAATTTATATATGGGCATGGCCCTTTGGAATAAATTCTCCTCTATTCTACCAGTCTTGTTTTTGAAAGAAAATGGCTAGTTTGTACAAAAAAAAATAATAAGAAAGAATTATTTTTACTTTATTTGTCTAAGATTAAGACAAAAGGAATTAATGTCAACTTGGCATGGATGGAACACTTATTGGGAAAAAAATATTTTAAAATAAATGTAAATTTATGTGTTTTAGTCTTAATCTCTATATTCCACCTTTATTCATATAAATATTATAATAAATATGCTTCACCTAGCCTAGACAGTAAATAAAGAGAGACAGAAAGCAATTTATATACAATAAGATCAAAAGATTACTAAAATACCCAAGAAAAAAGAATATTTGAAAGCTTTTTCCATTGTTAATAAAATATTCGAAGCTGATAAATATTTAATATAAAAAGTAAACTAGATCTAAATAAAAATAAAGAATATATTTGATTTTCTGCGGCAATAATTATTACCCAATGAAGCGGTTTGATTTTCTACAAAAGCTACCATAGATACCTGACATGCTAATCTCCCTTCACAAATAACTCTCACTAATATTAGCCAATGGAGCTCCTTGTTGATGAATGCCTGATCTACGCAGTGGAGGCATCAACGGCCTAAACATAAAGCATCATATTAAACCATGGGGACCACAGCCGATCCATGATTTATAAATGATGTTAGTATGATATATGAAGTATTATTTTAAGGCACCTTAATATTGATATATATATATATATTGGTTATTAGTTTAGGTTTAATTTCATAGTTTAGTTTATATTTCAATTTGTGCAATATTCCTAAATATTATATCTGACCCTTCAAGGAAGAAATATGAAATGCAGTATATTTGTTTTAATGTTATGAAGAAATAGAAATGAGATTTAATTATAGGAATTATTTCCACCAGATGAAATGGTTTGAGTTTTTAATATTAAAGAGTGTGATTATAACAATTGAGATCAGATCTCTGTTAGTACAGTTCACAGTGCAACTAGAGTAATTCCAGAACATGTCTATGAATTAAGTCCAGTTCACAGTACAGTAATCCTACAGAACAAGTCTGTTCCAGTGTTAGTTGAAGTATTAAGTCCAGTTCACAGTGCAATTAGAGTAATCCTACAGAACATGTATTTAGTATCTCCAATAGATCGAGTTTCTTAGTCAGTTTGTGTCTTTTTTTTCGAGATAGGATCATTTCTTGGAGGTAAATTTACGTCTGACAGACCATCAAGTTTAATGAATATCAATAGCATAACATGTGATTACAGGTTTTGCTAAAATATTGAATTTATTACAGTACTTGAAATATGGAAATATTTTATAAATTGAAATTATTTTGCCAGCAACGTAATATGTATGTCAATGAATGTAACTTCAAATCATGTGATAGAAGGAATTAGCTCACTTGGTTATTTTTAAAAAATAATAATCAAGACTAATAACTTGCAGCACTGGGAATTGGACCATAGATGAAATATTAGTTGAATCATTATTGAAGCAGTGGTTGAATTAGTATGAGGAAATAAATAAAGTAGAGGATGTTAGCCAGAATTAATACACCAAAACATTTTTATGGAGAATATCACAAAGAGCAATATCTGAATCTGACAAAGAAAGTTTGAGCTTAATATTATTTAAGACATACAGTGAATTAAACTGAATACTTAATCGTATTCATTATTTTTAACATTTAATCCAAATATAGTTACTTATGAAAATATTCTAAAATATTTAACTTGAAAATTTATATTGCTATTTTGAGATTAAGATTTATATATAACCATTATCCTTACCTTGGTGTAGTCTGAGTTTGAGTCAAAACTCGACTTTTCTGGTATTCTTCATAAGATCCTGGCGTTAAAATCGGTCCAAGACGACTTCTCAAAGCTGAAATAATTATAATGAAACAGAAAATGAACAATTTATTATGAGATGAAGATTTTTATTTATCTTATACAGGAACAGTGTAGTGATTTTTTCAGCAGAAGTTTAGAAGTGAAAGTTTATGTCCTTGAATCAATTAGTACATGTTATTCCTATTCTAAATGTAACTGGGTAGGTAGGCATAGTGTATTAAGAAAAACATCTCAAAAATATAAGGCCATACAAAAAATATATTCTGGTTCTCAGAGAAATCCCTACAATAAATCTAATGCAGGAGGGGACAGAGAGAGAGAGAGAGAGAGAGAGAGAGAGATGAGATTTAACATCCACTCAACACAAACTAGGTCATTTCAGGACCAACATATGGTTCAATTTGAATTCAATAATTTTCTTGCGCGTAGTCTTTAGCAGTGGGAGCAAACTGGAGGACACAGAGAAAACCCACGAGGTTGGACAGGCGACCCTACTCCTTGTAAAGTACAACCAGTGAATCGAAACCATGCCAGTTGTGAGTTGACGCAATGACAGACCGCATGATAAAGCGCTCATCATTTGGCCATCCACCCCCCTGAGGCAGGAGGTAGGTTTTTCTACTGTCGTACTGGACTAAACAACTTCTCATTTTAAGGCACTTCATTTATTTCATGTTGTTTATAGCAATGTGTGATTATCCAGTAAGATTTCTGCATTCATTCAAATTTTTATTTATAGATTTACTTCCTTTAACCAAGTAAAATATTTACATGTGGTAATTATTTTTTGAAATAAAAACAGGTCATGGTGCTCTTTTTAAGTGACGCAAGATTATCTAAGAACTAGAATATTTCTTTTATATGGCCTAAATTATTTAGTTCATAGGATTTTCTTTTATTTTGTAGAATATTATATTACCTCCTTTAACTGGCGTAGGAGTACCTGGTGTACATTCTGTAGGATACAAGAAAGAATTCTCAACATCCATAAACCTCTGCCAATATTCATGTGGTATCTCTAATAAATACTCCATTACCTACAAATATACAACTAATTAAAAACATTGTAAACAGAACTGGTTACACCTGTCTATGTGAAAGGTTCTTAGAAACCTTTAAAACTGGTCATGTACAACTACCAGTTTTCCTGTGGATTGGTAGTAATAGGTCATCCAATGTATAGATAACCCTTTTTTCAGACAAAAGAATTATGCCGTTATTTAAACATACATTATGCAAGAGCAAAATCGGCCCATTGCAGGTCTTTCTTTTGGCCTGAAATGTTATAAAAACCATTAATTAAACATTAATTAACTTATCCAGACCATAATCAGCTTTCGATGTCAAGGCTTGCCTGCGATTTTGTTGGATTGCAGTCCTATTTGCTGCAAAACTTTCCTTCGTGATTAACGATTAAATGGATAATCAAGACTATTAGTTTTGTCTTATCGACTTCAGTAATGATGATCGAGGCTAAGCGGAACTTTCATCCGCTTGGTTCTCGGTTCATAGTGGATCAATTTGACTGAAATTTTCAGCAAATTGCCTTTACATTATGTAGTTTTTAACTATTATAGTGAGAACTGCCAACTCGTTATCTCATCTCCCATAATGTATCTTTAATTAAGAATGAACTGGGGTTTAATTTCTTTTTTGCTAATATTTAAGAAAGTCACTCACCATATTTTGTCGTCTGGTTTCATTAATCATCTGCATTGGTTCTGGTTCAGCACAAGAGTATCCTACCACAGTTGGACCGAAAACTTTAGATAAATTACTGGATGGCATTTTACACTCAGGTGTTTGGGAAACTCTGAAAAAATAGACATCATACTGACATCATCAATCTATTCAGAGAGAATAATATCTGTTAAAGATGAACAATTTCACTTAATTACTCACTGGCAGAAACATGGGATTGATTGATACACTCTGAAATATTATCAGGATGATATGTTGATTCTTTTGAAGTAAAACTTGTTTCAATAAAATAGATAATATACATTTAAAAAAAAAAAAGCTCAGTGACTCGGTTTCTTAGAAATCCAATCAGTTTACATCAGTATATCACATCATGTGCATTATTAGTTTCTTATTTAAATTTGAATCCTGGAATAGGCTGTGAAGAATTGTTTCAATTTTCCAGATTGATTGTCACTAGGAAAGCATGCCTAGTTGTTCCGAAGGTGATATATATATATATTTGAGTTAATGTAGACAAATCTCCAATACCAACGGGTCCGCACAGTTGCATTTACAAATAAAATAAAATTAAAGGAAAACTTACATGGCCCAGTCTCACTAAGAACATATAACTAAATGAAAATTACAAATATATAACTGGGGAAATAGCCCATAGTCTGATTTGTATTTATTACCTTAGTAAATGTATAATAAGGAAAGCCATGGTATCCCGATTAGGTTGTGGTAATCTATCAATACAATCATATAACCCATCTAACTTAGATCTTAAATCAGGTCTCTCTGCAGCATGAACGAAATCATTCCACAAAGCATACGTCACCAACGGTTCTTTTAAATGTCTCAAGAAATCTTTGATACAACCACAAATGGCATGTATATCTGTTATATGAGACTGAAAACAAAATAAAAATTGATCTGAATACGAGACTGAATACAAAATCAAATCTTTTACAATCATATATAAAATATAATGGTTGAAACTTCTGCCTCAACCGTGCTTTGAATTCCTACTGTCAAGAGATTTATTTTATCAGCAGTCCCAATGACTTGAAAACCACATAAATAATTAAATAATAGAAATGTTATTGATCCTATATTTCACACTGTACATGTAGTCACATTTTCCTTTCATAATTGATGTCACTTTTTGAATGTTACATTTTGCAATATAAAATTGACAATGGAATGTCGTTATAACTATGCTGAATAAATAAAATCAACTTTATACTCACCAAGTTAGGGATACCCTTTCCACGTAAAAACTTCTCTTTCAAATCTTTTACTTCTCTATCAGAGCTGAAAGATATATTTAAATAAATCAATTCATTTTTCTCATTTCCTGAAAATCCCACCAATAGTATAAAGCTTACTTCATTCAATGACTTATAAAAAGATTTTATCAATTACAGAAAGGGAGAAATGGGGTTTAATATCCACTTGACACAAACTAGGTAATTTCGGGACCTAATTTGGTTCAATTTTATTTCAATAATTTCGATTATGCGCAAGCGTCTTTAGATATGTGTGTGGGGGGAAGTTTGAACAGACAACTCTACTCCCTGTAATGTACAAGCAGAGAATCCAAAAACCATGCCATTAAAATGACAAATCTTATAATCTAACGTGCACACGGTAAACCATTTGCCTCCACTCCCCTCGATCACAGAAAGTAACAATGATATATTCAATAGTAAACACAAAAGACAGTAAATTATAGTGTATGAAAATATTTACCCAGGTACACGATAAATCCCAACTTCATTTAATCCTCTTGATTCCAACTCATTGACACAATGTACCTTTATAGAAAAATAAAATACCTTGAAGATATATTGCCTGATCATTACTTAAAGAGCTGAATATTGTGAAAGTTGAATCTCTAATAGATATATCAGTCTAAACCTGGTTAAATTCTGTTCAGTATTTACAAAGTTATGAGTGTAACAAGACACAGCCATCTTTTATCAGTAGCAGTGAAACCTAATGGACCAAGTTTAAATCAAACTGAATCCAAGCCGGATGATTATATAGTGTTGGTATTTTGATTTTTTTTTCTTAATTAAATGTTAAATAATCAATCTAAGTACATATTAGCGTGGATTAGGCCATGAGAAATTTCATATTTTAACCAAAATGCTAATGACCAGCTGTCACTTTTCATTAATACCAATGTTTGCCAAAATTGTTAACAATTAAAAAGGAATTCTGTCCTTTTTTATTTTCTTTTGAGCTTTGGGTTCAACTAAATGACCTAATTAACCCTGAGTGAACTCATCTATAAAACCATCATATGATATAAAATTATATCTCCGACCTCAAGACGTAGCTTTTCAATTAATTCATATATTTACATAGTAAATAAACTTACAATAAGGGCTGGTAACATGGGTGGTTCAACTGATGTATAGTCTGATATAAGACCCTGAAAATATAACAGGAGAACTGTATAACAAACAATAGACAAAACACAACAGCACAACTACATACATACTTAAAAGTATTTAAAAAGAGGAAAAATATCGAAAGAAAACATCTGTGTCTGAGTGTTAATATACAAGTTCAAAAACATAACATTGCTAAGGAGGACAATTTAAATTGCCTTTACATGAGTTCATCGTATACAAATTCTATGAGGTTCAACATCTTAAACTCTTAAACATACATTTTGCAAGAGCTAAATCTGCCTATTGCAGGTCTTTCTATAGGCTTCAAATGTTACCTAAATAATTAATTATACATTAATTAACTTATTCAAACCATAATCAACTCTCAATTCCATCGCTAGCCTGCTATATTTAGCGGATTGGAATACATTTTGTGATGGATGAATAAATGTAAAAAATGGATAATCAAGACTGTGTTTTATCATACTGCCATTAGTAATGATGATCGAGGCTAGCCGAAAATTCAGAAGCTAATATCTTGGTTCAGCGTGGAGCAATTTGACTGAAATTTTCAGAATATTTATATTTATTTTTAACTATTATAGCAAGAACTGTCAACGCTTTATCTTATCTCTTATAATGCCCCTTTAAGGTTTAATGAATATCTGAATATATGAACTTACTCCTTGTGTTTTTGATGTTCCTGGTGTGCTAGGGCATGATGGGAAACATGGTAATGGTAGTTTATCTTTACATTCAGGATGACACATTGATCGACAATCTATAAGATAAAACATTTACATTAATTTCATCCGTTGGTAAAACTCTTGTTAACACATAAGCTAAATGCTGATATATAAATAAAATAAATTCCATTCTACTTGCAGATTTTATATTTCCTTTTGTTCTATTTAACAATGTCTAACATTACGAAACTCTCCAAAAGTTCTCTTACCTTTGCATTTCATTCCAAGCTTACCAAATCGGATTCTCTTTCCACACTGGAAATACAAAATATAATTTATTAAATAGTTCAAACAATAATTATAATATATTATTATATGAAAGTAATAGTGTATACAATGAACATTATTATCATCAACACATATGGGTCCGTATATTATCCTGATGCTGGTCGAGAAAGTTCATAAGCATTTTCCGATGTGGTTCCCACTTGTCAGTAGTGCAGGACAGAGGGCCTGGCAAGGGAATATGTCAACAAGTCATCAGATGGGTCGAAAACCCAGGTACAATGTACACATTGGCATGCACATAAAAGAACCCTCGACAGTTGGAATTCAAAATAAGAGCAAACAATAGTGCCGCTATCCAGGCAAAATTTCCTCTCATAGTACACTGTATGGCGTATACCTGTCTCCATTAGCCCAGTTGGTGCAGAAAAGTAGAACGTTAAATACCTCTAAACCCTTTAATATAAATGTGATAAAATAGACTTACTGGTACACAAGATTCTGGTTTGATGACTGTTTTTGATATAAAAACATGAACTCTGTTTAAACCTTTACTAGCAGAATTAGCTTTTCTCATTATTGGTGTCCTACAGAAAACAATCATTAAAATCAACAATTACCTGAACGATTACCAATATTGGTGATGAATTTAATCAAATTTAACAAATATACACAAGGTCGCAATGTGGTCTGAGAAGTGAGTCGAAAACATTTTTCTATGAACCGAACCCAGCATGGTTGAGAATGAATATCAAATTCTTTTTTGTGAATAATCTGACCAAATATAAATAATGCATGTAATATGAAGGTATACGTACTGAGGTGTTCTCTTGTTATTTTTATTACGATTACCAGGTGTTTTACTGCCCCAGAAAGAATCATCAGACTCAGGATCACTGTCTGCAATAAAACAATAAACACAGGTAAATTCAATTCAACTATCTCTTGAAAGGTAGATGGAGTCACGGAAAAGGTCCAGACTCAAATTCAGATTTTTCTTTTTACTGTCTATCTGCCCGATTCACTTACCGATATAGATCTCTATATGGTTTATTAAGATGTTTATCAAGAGACTTACCGATATCTCTACTTGGTTTATTAAGAAGATGTTTATCAAGTGCTGGTTCACTGAAACTTTTGTTTAATTTAGGAACTCTAACTTCTGTTTCAGCATACATGGGTTGACCATGTTGATCTACAGCTATTGTAGTTGTGGTTACTATCGAACCATTAGGATCCTGTAATATATAAACCATTGAAACTTCACTTTAATAGAAATATTATTATTTTACATAAAAACAAACCATGTCCAGTAATTATAAGGAAAACATACAACATTAAGTTGCTCTGGCCATCTACCGAATCCTACAAACCAGCGTTAAACAAGTACACTTAGAATTTCTTAATCAATATTTAACATTTAGTATGATCATAGACAGATTGATGAAGGCAAAATTATTCCGAAGGACATAGAATGCTGCAGTCATTATTGTGTTGTGTTTCCGTCTACTCTTCCACAAAAAGTTCTTTTAGATGCTTGTTAATGACGTGTACACTGGTAGATTCTGTTTTATCATCCCATCCGATTGACTAAGATGTAAATACAATCATTAAAGTGTATTATATTTTTAGAAACAGGGACAAGGTAATAAAATCATGAAGGTCTCCCTGTACATATTTCACCCAAACTACCATGATAAAGAGGAAAAGTAATTAGTATGTACCTCTCCTGTGCCCAAACATTGACGTTTAGGTGGAGTTGTATTATGATGATCATATTCGTCTTCTACTGGTGGAGCAGATGGACGTTTCCATTTTCTACCACTACGTAGATGTGAGGCTTCTAAATCATCTTCTGTTTTATCGTAGCTGATATCTGACAGGATGGAGGCCGAGGATTCCAATATAGCTTGCATTCTACAACAAAATAATACATAATTTCTTTACTTGCTTGGACATATTGTTTTATAGTATGTACCAAATTTTAAAACCTTGGAATAATCTAGAATCTAAAAACATTTAACACGGCTGTCATCAGGAAAAAGACTTACAGTAGAGTGGGTTTTATTTTTCTTATATGAGGAACGTGGATTGAACAGGTGAGATTTCCGTAGGACTTAAAATTACAAATAACACAAGAAATATATCGTCCATGTATTGCCAATTGGTAAAAGATAACTTGGATTTTCAGCTCGCACAAACTACCGTACAGGTGTTACAGACAACAAACTACCGTACAGGTGTTACAGACTACCGTACAGGTGTTACAGACAACAAACTACCGTACAGGTGTTACAGACAACAAACTACCGTACAGGTGTTACAGACAACAAACTACCGTACAGGTGTTACAAACTACCGTACAGGTGTTACAGACAACAAACTACCGTACAGGTGTTACAGACAACAAACTACCGTACAGGAGTTACAGGTGTTACAGACAAGAAATGAAAACCAGGCCCTGAGTTCATAAAGCATTCTCAGGCTTAAGTTAAGAATTTACACAAAATTGTTCGCCTTATTTTAATTAAAATATAGCCTTTACAAAACTTTTGTTGATCTAATATATCAAATACATCATTAAGAAACTATGTGCAAAGTTTTGTGTTTCCAGATCAAAGATATTTCTGTTTGAAGTGATTGAAAGTTGAGTAAATTCTTAACTTCAGTTTTAGAATGCTTTGTGAACTCGGGGCCAGACATAAAACATTCCTGGAGTTTCATCTTATTTTCAAACCGTCATTGAAAGATTACTTCCTTTTTACATATAAAATGCTTCCTTTTTACATATAACATGCTAAGCAGTAGTTTCAGTGGATTCCAATATGAGCTACAAAAGTAATTGTTTTAGGAAACCAGGATAGTAAATATTTACATGATACACCAAGTACAAGAGGGTTTATAGTAATAGGGTACCATAGTTAACAACAAATTATAATTACTTCTTTGGTGATTCATGTCGAGATGTCTGTTGTGTCATACTAAGAAAGGCAAGTCTTTCTCTATCTTGTTCATTTAACATGATACTATTACCACCATTTTTATTATTTAACATTTCTCGTATCAGAGCTATCTGTCTTTCCTAAAAAAATAAATAAAAAAATAAACATTGACTGGAGAGTTATTATCAATGATTCTTTAATCTAAAAGTAATATATTCAGAAAATAAGGGTGAAAAAGGAATGTTTATATCTTTGTAGGCACTACGGGCTACTCTTTATATCGAATTCCAACTGCCAAGGGATCTTTTACATGCCCCCTAATTTTTACGCAGAATCTCTGTTTTCGTCTGATCCGAACGACTAGACAGCTGTCCTTGCAGACCCCCATCCTGCACCACTGACAAGGGGGAACCACACCGGAAAATACCAATGAACTTTCTCAGCCAACACTGGGAGCAAACCCACAACCTCCAGACTTGCGGGCCAGTGTCTTACTCACTGAGTCTCCATGGCTCCCCTACTTGTAGGATATACATGTATAACACTAGATAATATACATACCACTGCTTCTTTCTCCAACTCCACTTGTTTACGTCTCTGCATTTCATAGTCAATCTGTGTTCTAGAAATAATATGTAGAAAATATATACTTTGATCTTCATATTAAATACTGCATACAGTTTGATATTAAATATTTGTGCAATTGTTTTACGCTACTTATTACACAGTAATTATTTGTAAATATAAAGAAACATTTTAAAAGTTTGATGTTTTACTGACAAACTGTCAGAGTGATCAGTGATCACACAATCTGTCCAGTAATTTGTTCTAGTAATAGTAATTACCGGGCCGCAAATCCATCATAAACATGTTCATATTGCATGTAAATGCTAAGGGTTACTGGATCTCTGACAAGGATTCAAGTCTGTTAACTACAGAATTAACGGCTAATAATAGTTATAAGAGTGATGGACAGATTCTTTAAGTCTAAATGAAATGAAATTCGGTGTAATGTCTAAATGTTTTGCACTGACTGGGATAATGAAGATGGGCATATGCCATGCAGTGTGCTGCAAGGGGAAATTTTGCCTGGACAGTGACACTATGACCTACCCTTAATTTGAATTCCAACTGTCAACGGTTCTTTTACATGCATGCCAATGTTTCTTATAGAAGTCTAGACAACTGTAAGTGTTTTGGAAAATAATCTAACCCACATCCATTAATGTTTACAGGAAAAAAGTGTGAATTATCTTCAAATATTAAAACTTACTTAGCATGTTTTAGTCTAGTATGTAATTTACTGTTCTCTGATGATAGTTGTTCAACTTTCTCCTGTAAAACATCAACATTCTGTTCAGCTACCATCCATTTTCTTCTACAATCTTCTTGTCCATGAACAAAAACTTTAAATTCTGAAACATAATTTATACAGAAATTTGAATATGTTACTTTGACACAACAAAAACTCTAATCTCATGATCACATTTGCCGAGATTTCTCATTGCAATTTATGAAATTATGCCAGTAAACTTTCAAGGCCACATTATTTATAACATGCTATTAAGTAGCCTAGAAAGGTTACAGATTGCAATATAACTTTAATATACAAGAGAATTAAATAACAAAATATTCTAATCTAACTATTATTATTAATATCTTACCTAATTCACAGCTTTCTTTAAGAACTCTGGCATCTCTTGCTAAATCATCAAATGCTGCTACCAATGATAACTTGGCATCAGACTGAAAAACAAAAACCTTCTACTCTAGAAACTCATTTATTTTTAAAAAAAACAAACAAACACTATTAATGCTTACCCAATCCTGTACCAAGAATACCAGGATAACATCTGGCAATGACTAGCACAACTATCCTTACTCTATTTCATTAAAAGTTCTTTTTTTTTTCACATAAATTTATTGTTATAAATTATTTTCTTTCACTATGAATATGATGATCACATAAACTCTTAGAAATCTTACATTGAGACTTGAAGATGATGTTCGAATATCTTCTTTAGAGGGACGCTTTGAAACCCCTCCATATCTGAGATATTTGGAGGATACATGCTCCTTAGATGTGGATCTTAACATGGCAACTTTTTCTTAAAATCTACATTGGACACAAATCCTAATTCTCAATATATGGTTAACCTACACAAACATATATAATCAGACATGTAGCCACCTTTAAGTCATTAATTATAAACTGGCTTGGTAAAACCTAGGTTTAATTAAACTGTAAATAGATTTGTCAGTAAAAACAACATGTCAGTTTAATAGCTAGACAAACCCTTAATTACTTCACACATTACAATGAGACTAGACTACTAATTTCAGACATTTGTTAAAATTAAAAATTGCTCATTTCTTTAAATTTAAAATTGACATTAGTATACAACTGAACATGATAGTATTAAGGACTGTAAAATAATTAGATTTGAAATTCAAATATACATCTAATACACCAGGATCAACTACGGTAACTATCTGTACAGTTTTGTATTGTGCCAAAGTTACAAGAAATTTCTAAAATTTTCCGTTTCAAATAAATGTAAAATACATTCTGTTTTAAACGTACATATTATTTACAAACTGTCAATCTGTTTGTAAACAACATGTAAACTTTATAGATTTAACATAACAATTATAATATGTGTTTGTAAGATATAATTCTCAGCTTACTGTTGAGTTTTTTTTTTTTACTTTGCTTAGGAGTGGTTTCAATGAGAAACACAGGCTAGGTCATTTTGGGACTAGCATATGATTCAATTTCATTTCAATAATTCACTTGCGTGTAGGGGTCTTTTTAGCAGTGGAAGGAAACTGGACGACCCACAGAAAACCCACAAAGAAGTTAAATCGCTAATTTTTGGGACCTAAAAATTAGACACAAATGGGTAGCAACGCATGTAATACAACGCATGTAATAGTAATATGAATGTATATAAACTGATTCACATTTAACCGTTTTCGTTTTTACTTGAATTTCAAATCAGTTATGTTCGCCGAAATATGTGAGAAGTCTCAATCGCACGGCAATCTCTAGCGCCTCGTTATTCCAGTCTACACCAGTAGTATTTACTGTGCCTGCTCCCCAGATAAGAATATGGTTTCATCATTTGACATGGCTTGTGGAATATGTCTAGCCTCGTTCTTCGAGTCCCTTGTTACAAATTTCGCCGAAATGCATTCTGGTACAAGATTTATGTACCAATGGTAAAATGCTTATTTTGTCTTAAATATTGGATATCAGCAGAAGCCCATCTTTTCCCGGTAAGATAACAATATCAATGTTGAATTAAATTGATAAATATTTGTGTTTTCAATGTCAAAGACTGCACTGGATCAGTGGATGATATTGTGGGCTAAAGACTTAGCTGTTTTATTAATTGCTATGAAAATCTGAATTTGTTACTGTGATTGGAACTATACTATTACTATGTTACTATGTCTTTCTTTGAGCTTTCAAGAGCTAATCAGATGATTTAGTTCAATATTTTGCCGAAAATGTCCTTTTTGTTGTAATTGTAATTCCATTTGAAAACTAGTTTATTTCTGTGTTTTTGTTTAATCTTTTCTTAAAGAAAAGGCTAATGTTAGGCTAAAGTCAAGTTGTGATATTTGATTTGACATTTACATAGATTCACTCGACCAACACTATCCGTATCAGGTAGTAGTGAGCCAGGTACAGTATTGCAATGTTACTTTATGTAATATTTTGTATAATAATTTTATGAAATTCAAAGTAAATAAATATGTACATCATGTGATGTAATAAGAAATACATTTAATTTAAGCTACATGTATATAGCCAGTGGCTAGTCTAAAAAAAAAGCATTTTAATTTTAGTTTTAGAAAGAATTAGAAAGGTATGCAAACTACAAAATCAAATAAGGTGAATAAATTATTGGTGTGGCTGTTTAGAATGACCTGGTAGATCTATCAGTATCAACCAACAAAAATTATGCTAAATCTGTCATCTCACTGCAAGTGCAATGCAATGAACAAACATTGATTGAACCTTATCAGCTTATCTATCTAATCTCAGTGAATCAGTCACCCAGTCCAGGACATTTTCGTAAGTTTCAAGTTATATCAAACATAAAAAATAAAGTATGGTGATATTGACATGCGTATAGATTCGAACTTAATCAACGAGGGTGGAATAGCAAATTAACCCCAACAGAGAAGCATAAACCTTGTCGAAGACGAAGATAAGATGCTCAGCCTCAGTCTGCCGACAGTTTAAAAGTCAACCAACTCAAAATAAAACCAGATTTACAAACTGGTGGACTTTGTTTCGTTCCAAGCTGAATACGTTAATCATAACTTAAAAGAGTGAGTTGTAATTACCTGTGAACCTTTACGTTCGTGCAACATTTTGAGCTGATTAATAATCACCTTTCAAGCTGACATTGTTTTCAAATATTATTGTTTCCCTCCCGGCAGAATTTTAAACTCGTAATCACCTCAACCAATCAAAATACTCTATTTATTAAAAAAAAGAGAGGCGCCATCTGTTATAATCAAAGAGGAGATAATTCTCAAAAACAGGCAGTAGTTCTTCGGTCTCGGGTTTTTATCGTTAGCGTGGCCGCTTGTAATACTTGGTACGACAGTAATTATGTCTGAATGTATATTTATCAAGGATGAATGATCCACGAAAAGGAATAAAATCGGACACTGAGACGGCAGTTGCGTGATTTTTTAAGTTTTCGGGAAAAGAATATTTATTTAAGATGCTTAGGCCTACTAATTTATTTGTAATCTTTAAGTGGCATTTAGCGATTGGGAAACACATTAGCAGAACATAGTTTTTATTGGAAACAATCACTGGTTTATTCTAAAATCACGACGTTTCGACAAGTATCCTCTTATCGTTATCGAGTGTATTGATTAAATATAAGGCCATACAAACTTGATAAGATAACGATAAGAGGATATGCCTACTTGATAACGATAAGAGGATACATACTTGTCGAAACGTCGTGATTTTAGAATAAACCAGTGATTGTTTCCCATAAAAAACTGTGTTCTGCTAATATTTTATTTGTATTAGCAGAGCCGAATTAAGATTTTGAACGGACCAACGGATATCGGGTACACGCTAAAGTGAGGCTCTGCCTCCCCAAGACACAGTTTTCTTCCTGCCTTAGTAAAAATAGTCTATATCCATTTATATATTCATACAGTATATCAAGTTTCTTTTTTTTAAAATAGCATTCAGACATGAAATAACTTTTCTCCGAGGTAGGCCCAACATACATGTCTGTACTTGTTAAAATTTTACCTAATCCTCGGACGACCCCAACTGGCAGGGTCCCTGGACGGCAGTTACTGCAGTCCACGCCATTCTGATTAGGTTAGACGATTTGGTTGGTTTGGAGGTAACAAAATTTTGATGGCTAGACTACAGGTACCTTTGAACAGAAATGAAATGGGGGTTAACGCTGCCCTACTTTTCAGCACCAATAGAGCTGATGAAGGCCTGCTTTTCCATTTTTAAATTAAATCATTAAATGGCGATCATATTTTAATGTTTACATCTGCCCAGTCCCATATTCTAGAGAGCTGATTATAGGCTTGCCATGTGAATACATATAATATTTGAAGCCAAATTAAAACCCTGTAATAGGCATATTTAACTCTTACATAATGCATCTTTAAAGTTTATAATAGTCCGTTAAATGGAAATCCCCTTTTGTCAAACATACTCAGTAACAAACTCATATAATAAATGTGCATCATAGCCAGCCCGACACCCAGTAAATCTCCTTTGTTTCACTACTTCAGTAATCATGTGTAGGACACAAGTCATAGTATAAGAATAATTTATGTTGATTCATATAATAATATGCTAATACAGATATTGCTCAAACTAGCACAGGTATTGGTATTATTGCCTATGGGCATTTTATCATTTATCAGTTTTTCAATATGGCAATCATTAAAATACAGATCTATAATTCATTTACTTTTTTTTTTACTTTCGATGGCCTCTACTGCATGAAGATCTGACCAGTTGTAGAGGGAGGTCGTGTCAGGGGGTCATACGAGTGGCTTTTGACATATGACGTCAGACATTTGATTAACCAATCAGCGTTGATGTTTCCAGTGGAATACCCACAATTCCGTGCATTGCACACAAAGAACACACTGCAACAGACTGAATCATTGGCTAATCCATCACATCAACCAGGAAGCAGATTATATAACAACTCTTCCAGATCCTAAAAGTATAATGAAATTTTTGAACTATAAAAATCGAAATGAAATAGGATCTGCGTTTTAATCAGATTGTCAATCTGGGAGAATCAGAGATAAAAAAAATCACGAAAATGTAGCTACATGTAGCTATCACATATTACATAGGCCTCACTCAAAATCTGTAAACAATCCGTCTATAAATAAATAGTTCAGATGTTCAAAATAAAATTAAAAGCAATTAGTTAAAATATTTTTGTTTATTGAATAGATTATAGTGAAGATATTTTTAAAAGTACATGATTTTAACCATAATTTGCGTAGTAACTATAATTTATACAAAGCACAGGGAATATATCTGTGATAAATATTTACAGTCTAAGGATATAACTCATAAAATTGGGACCAAATGTGAACATACAAAACATCAATATCAATTCTTGGTTTAATTTAATGCCTTTGGACATAGAGACACTTGCTGACTATACAGACCACAGGAATACATAGTTCATGTCACAAATGAAAGAAAGAAATAATTCAGCAATTTATTAATCATAAGGTAGTATTGTATCTAAAGGTTTGAGTTGTCAACCTCTATCAGTAGTAAATCTTTAACAATTGCATTAAAAAATTATGAACCCTAGTGTCACCATTACTTACTAAATCTAGAATTATATAATTTATACAATTATTTAATAAATAATCTTTACAAATCATTCTTTATGTATGATTGGAATAGTCGAGTTGTCTCTACACATACACTATTTATAAATAACAGAGAGGAAATATTGGTGATAATCAAGTTACTAAATATAGATCATCAGTGGTAAGGAATGCGATATCAACTATGACATCATCATTGTCGTGAGGGTGGGGGATTGGGAGGCGTCTCATAAGTGGAATAGCCCAGGACCTCTCTTTATCTAAAAATCTAGCACTGGTTGTACAGTATATGGGTTAAATTTATGTTCATTTTTGTTTGTATTTTCATAATGAGGCTAACCCAAGCTTTAAAATATTATATTGTTGTTTGTAAACCCTGTGACATCGTTCTGTTTTACCCCACTGAACCCTGGGTCCATTCACAGGGTTTTCACGAATTCAAATAATCTGCCCTTGATTGTAGGTTGATTCTACGAACCAATAAAAAAAACCCAGTTTACATACCAGTCTTAGCGTCATTGTTTACGTTCACCACAAAGGGGGGGATAATTTGACTGTCTCCCCCGTAATTAGACCCTTTGGTTAGTACGGTAGAACTGAACGATACCACTGGTTATAATGCGGATGACCCTGTGATGGCTATTCTTTTTTTTTTATTTTTACACATGTAAATTAATACTAGAAGAATATATTTTTAAAAATAAATAGGTACAACAGGAATAATGATGTAACACCACATATTAAGTAACTTGTTTATCACATACTAAATATATATTTTTTGCTCTGTATATAGCTGGAATATAAATTTGTGATTAAATGTTAATGTATTTAATAAAAAGAAATCTAACAATGCTATCATTCTTTCTAATTTCTCATTATATTAGTAGAATATACCTTCTATATTAGTAGAATACTTCTGTTTGATAAAAGCTCCTTGTCAGCAGTCAACAAACATCAAGCATGTTTTTATACACACAATAAGAGTTTGAATCTGTTTTTGCTTAGATTATAATGTTCATTGTAACACTGCTGACTTGATCAAGCAATTATAATGCACAACATTTGCAAACTATACATAAAAATGGCACAAGATAAATTGTGATTTTACGGAAGTAAATCCTCATTCAGGTTAGGCCATACAAAAAATATTTTGGTTATCAGATAATCCTGAGTCACTCAAAAACGGTCAGATGGCCCGTTTTTATTTTAAAAAACTAAAAACAATATCTTTAATTACTGCTTGTAAATATTGTAGCCTGGTTATATTTGAATGAATACAGAAATGTAGCATAGGTTCATTTATCAAGTATTACAAACAATCATAAATGATCAACAAAAAATAAAAACCTTCCTTCAGCATCAGATTTTTGGTAAAGATTGTCTGAGAACCAGAATATTTTTTATGTTGGGCCTTATTATGAACCAATAAAATAAATATACTGTTGGCTTTAAGTAGGCTATAAACTTAATACTACATGATAAAGAAACATTGATTTGATTGGCTTTGTTTAATTTATTTATTACAACTTTGTTCTCTTATTTTACATGTGATCAACTGAGTTCAACACTCGTCAAAATTTTTACACTGGGGTACTCACTATAATGTTATTACTTTCAATTAAACCGGTTCCTGAGACTTTTCAGTAAAATGATGTAAAAATAGTCACCATCAAGTGACCATGTTCGGACACATGAAGTTATGTTATTTCAATTCATAGAAGTTATGTTCCCATGTCTAAAATAATTTTGTGAAACCTAACGAGCACATGACAAGCAAATACCCCATGAGAGTTACCTCCCTTCAGTAACCGTGAAAAAGTCAATCAGAGCTATTATGGTGAAGTCCTTATGTAAATATGGTATATTAAGTATATGAAAGAGCAGGATACATGTATTGTCGTCAACCTACAGATAATAAAATATAATCTGTATTATGTAATAACCTAAAGGTCCAAGGTCAATATCACTAGGTTCTATTGAATGTTCGGCCTGTAATAGTTTTCTTTTCCTTGTCTTTTTGTTCTGGTCTAGCTCTGTTCAATACTTTAAGGAAATCAGAGGTCTTCGCTCGCATTCTTTGGTGAATATAAGCCTAAAATAGAAATTCATATGTTACTTATGTTTTATTCACGTAACAGGAAGTAAATGATTCATATATATTGATCATACAAATTCAATATCATAAATAAATATTGGTCAGAAACGGGCAATGAATATGAAATATCTACCATTAGGTCATCTCAACATTACATGGGAGATTCATGCTCTTATGTTGTGGATACTTGCATTCCCTAGGTTTTGTCATGTCATTCTAAATACAGTAATTTCATTATTTAATCATTTCCTATAATTTCTAGATTAATAAATACTGTGTAAATACTGTACAGTGCACTCTGTCACATCCGACATCGTACGGGATCGTTACAATATGTCGGATTACGCAGAGTGTCGGAATACCCAGTTTTCTCAAAACCGGAAATATTGTAACTTCGAAAACCGGAAGTATTATTATAATGTAGCTTCGAACATAGAACTTCGAATCACCAGAATGTTATTCCCTTTAAAAATGATAAACCTTTCTGTACATTCAAAATTTTATTACATTAATTTTTATTTTATTTAACATGCGTAGGCATTTTGAATAGATCATGTCTGTCGTTAATTTATCTTCTTCGCGGTCTTCAGTTGATCGCACTCTTGTCTTTGCTATCACGTGTTCATTGATACTGGGCGTACTCGATTGAACGTTCCGGAATTGAATTCTCTCAATCCCAAAAATAATGACAATCGAGTGAAAATGGGTACTTCGGGCCACAACGCATGCGTCGACTGGATATATAAATATCTAATCCAACCATGCAGCCGAAACCTGTTCATCGTGTTTAATTACGTCATAATTCTACTCACGCCACCTCCGTTGTCGGGACTGACAGAACTGTGACAGGACTGAATTCCGTGTCACTCGATTGCAATTCGGGACGTTCCGGACTGTGACTCGAGCATCGTCAGGTCGTTGTCACACGGTTCGAAGAGATCCGTAGGGTGACCAAACTTATAGGTTATTCAGGTTCAATCGGCATGCGCAACGAATGTTTCCAACAGGTGCTAGGAATATTTTTACGACTGTGAATTCGGGGGAAAATTCATGGATATTCTTGAGTATTTGTCACAACTGTAATACGAAAGATTAAAATTATCAAAGTAATCAACAAAGATCCATGGTAGCGAGTTTTAATCTCACAGATAATTGATTGGTGATTGCTTCTTAATCTTTTGTGGCTTCACACCCATCCAGTTTTAAACTCATGGATAATTGATCGGTAAGTGTTTGCTTCACACCCACCGATTGAAGGCCTGATTATACGGTGTCAATTCAATGGAAATCGTATGACGGGACGGCTGATCGATGTCGTAATCCGGAACGTACAGAGGTCGAATTACCCAGAGATTTTTTGGCTGAAGTAATAAGGAAATAAATTGGGACATGAAAATGGTGTCGGATGTAACAGAGTGCCGGAGTGATCAGAGGTCGGATGTGACAGAGTGCACTGTATATAATACTGTGTAAATACTGTATATAATACTGTGTAAATACTGTATATAATACTGTGTAAATACTGTATATATACTGTATATAATACTGTATATATACTGTATATAATACTGTGTAAATACTGATGGTGGAAGATTTTACCTTGGAACATTTAATATGATAATGGAGATAATCTCGTAACGTGTGGATCAAGTTAATTGTATTATCTCGTGCTGCTTTGCTGGTATGTCTTGGAAATAAAACTGTAATAAAAATAACAACAATTATAAATTACATTAAACAAATACAAGAACATAATATCACCGTCTTCATTAGCCTGGTTGATACATTTCAATGACTAATCTGTCTCTTTACACAGTATATTAACATGATAGATGTGATATACTTACCAAATGTAATATAACAGATATTATCACCTACTCTTGCATCAGTATTTGTTAATTCTTGAGGTGGTTCTCTGTGACTGAATAAAACTTGAGGTGCCTGTTGATACTTTCTTCTACCTTCTTTAAATTCCTACAAATATAAATAAATTCCCTGTATAGTAAAACCATGTAAAACAGAAGTTCCCTGTAGAACTACAGAAATACTGGCTTATTTAAGGTATTCAAAAAAAAAAAAAACAGCTTCAATTTTTGGAAATAACACATGGTATATCTTTATATCAATAATTTGTTTGTATTCAGGTGCCTTAAGCGGGTGGTAAAAAAAATTGATGAAGGAAACAGAGAAAACCCAGGCAGGTGTATTTATTCCTTGTTATATACAAACATAGGATTAAAACCATGGAATATTGACAGACCTTATGAGCTAAAGCGTACACCACTTTTCTTCAGCAATTCACTAGCATGCCGAGTACAAGGTAAGTCAGGCAACTGTACTTCTTGTCACAGGATGACAGACCTATAACCTGCAACAAAATCCCCAAGGATTCAGGCCATTCGACTACCCAACAATTATGAAAGCATAATTTACCTGCATAAAAACTTTGCCAATAATAACATCATCATCATCTTTGAAAATCGTACTGAAAATTACTGTTACTCGATCTTTTTTAGCTTCTACATACCTAAAATTATAATTCAATTATAATAAGACCCTGTTTAGCTTTAGGAACTGATGATGTTGTACACAGGGCAGAAAATGCCCACTACTGTTTAGAACAGAAGTCACCATTTGTTTATGTTCAAGCTGTATTTTTTTTTTTTATCTAAAACCATGGAAACTGAAGGCATGAAACATCCTAATATAGAGCTGATGACAAAACTATTATATTCAATATTCATTACTCAATCAGTCATTTGAAAAGATAGATTGTCAGGCAACAAAACATACACCCACAGCAGATAAATTGTCTGAGCAGTGGACAAGGGTTATCTCATATTAATTCTTTAAACTTACATAGTTTCATCTTCTCTATAATGTATCACAGCTTTTTGTTGACCCTCTATACCCTTCTCTTGAAATTCAAAATATTTCTCAAAAACAGATGCAAAGCAATTCCTCTTTAATAATGCTGCTTTTTTTGCCAACTCTTCATAATCTTGTGGAACATTTTCTAAACTATATAACAAGGTTACATTATAACCTGAAAAAATAAACATCAACTCCTAAAAAATGTATTAAAACATAACACGAAATTCATTCCTCAATCAAAAGGTCAAAGGAACAGTGTTGTCATTCTTGAAAACCACATGTAGTATGGTCAAAAAGCGAAATCTCAAGTATGTTAAATTATCTGATGGAGTTAAAGACAAGCTTCTTGACTCTGACTAAACCTGTCCAGAACTCAATCATGTGTACAGTGACAGTTCCAGCCATGTATTTGTGATGTAATTGTTTTTCTGGTAGTTATAGAATTCTTGGGAGGTTATTACTGCTTTTTAATTACCTTTTGCTTAAAGATGCATTATGTAATATTTCAATAAAGTGCTGACTTAATTCTGAGCAGAGTAATGGCCGACTGAAGAACAGTGCAATATAATTAAAATATAGATCTATATTTCGTTTCGTTTTTTTTATACTTTCGATGGCCTACACTACATGTAGATCTAACAAGTTATAGTAGGAGTTCACGTTCTATGACGTCAGGTACCAAGCAAGCGACATTTGACCCGATTACGTCAGTCATTCGATTAACCAATTAGCGACCGCCATTTATTTTTTTTATCTACTTTTGCTTTGTTTTGATTTCTATTGCCGCTAATGTCTACCCACAGTTCCGTGCAAAAAAGATCAAACGCTCGATTTGACAGACCACTTGATTGGCTGACCCCTCATTTCAAGCAGAACACGAGTTAAATAACAACGCTTCCAGATACAAGTGTAGTAAAGACAAGTAAAATCGAAATTTTGAACTATAAAAACGAAACGAAATTGGATCTGTGTTTTAATCAGATTGAGAACAGTGTAGTCTCGATTATTATTGCCACTGTTGTTACGATAATAAACAAAGTCTTTATTATCCAATTGTTTTAAATCTATGGAAAATCAAAACCATCCAATATTCTAGAGAGTTGATTTTGGGCCTGGCATGTAAATAAATGTCTACTTAATGAATTATATATTATATAACATTTGAGGCCAAACGAAAGATCTGCATTAGGCAGAGTTAGCTATTACCTAATGCGTCTTTAAGCTTACAAGTTGAAATGTTCATTAAAGCTGGATAGACATTTTAAAAACCAAGTTCTAGTAATTTGTTGATAAAAACAGTATGCAACCTACCTGGTTCAGGTGATGTTAAATTATCTCCATATTCTCTTTTTATTAACTGAAAAATATCAAAACATAATATACACAAAATATAATATAATATACACAAAATATAATATAATATACACAAAATATAATATACACATAAAATGTACATATTTAAAGAAACTTTAGTTGTTCAATGTTTAAGTGATCATAAAAAATCTAGACAAATTTTTAATGTTGAAGAGCTGCAAGATCAATGTTATATACTACTTACAGAATCTGCACCATGACCTTGAAGATCTGCATAGAACTTCAGAGAAATACTAACCTGAAATTGAAAATGACTTGTTTCAACCCTAATATAAACTCTTCAAAAAATGTAGGGGATATTCAGAAACAATACAAAACTGGGGAAATGCACTGCTGTTTTATTAGAGGTAACCAATGTATGTTAATAACAGGCCAATTGCCTACACATGAACATAAACAGTTCATATGGGCGGCTTATCTGACAGCCCCATTTCACTCGCAAAGAGATACACTGTCAAAAGTGAAAATGGACGTTTTTGATTTTTGTCTTAATTATATGAGTAATTGCTCCACCAATTCTAAGACATACAGCAATTTGTCATGGCATGCTCCTAATGAACTGTCCAATCACGATTTGGGGCAATCTGACCCACTCCTCTTGCAGTGCCACAGACAATTCTTTGAGTGTTGTCGGTTGACATTGACGTAGACGAACACGTCTCCCGATCAAATTAAACGTAACACACTAAAGCAAAGATACGCTAAACAGTAAATCTTATGCAATAACCGATCGGAAAGCAAACATGGATAGGATAAACCAGCAAGTGCCAGTTTTCATCAAACCTTCCTCGAGGTGTCAAATTTGACAATGAACCCTGTTACCCCTCCCACGTGTATGGCGCTAGTATCATCTGTTGCTCATATAATGTATGCTTCATGGCACTAAGTAACAATGACTAAGACCCCCAGTATCTTAACAAGGTTTAGTAATTAAGAGAGAGAGAGAAATGGGGTTTAACGTCCACTCGACACAAATTAGGTCATTTCGGGACTAACACATGGTTCAATTTTATTTCAATAATTCACTTGCGCGTAGGGGTCTTTAGCAGTGGGAGGAAACCGGAGGACCCGGAGAAAACCCACGAGTTTGGACAGGCGACCCTACTCCTTGTCATGTACAACCGGGGACTCGAAACCATGTCAGTTAACTCAATGACAGATCTTATGATACAGCACGCACGTGCTAACCATTCGATCATCCAACACCGCTTAAGGAGAAAGAACAACTTTGGTTGATTCTTCTTTCACAGATCTATGTGGAACACAAGCTTTAAGCATTTTCAATTCTTATACCTTAACTTAAATGTGTGGCGGCATAGGAAAACCCTTCACATGGTGAAAATTAAAAAAAAATTGTTTTGGGTATGTGTACATCAAGCACAAATTGGGGATCAAAATGGTCTATAAATGATCAAAATCGGTTGATAACTTGTGGAGATATTCATAATTTAATACAAGAAAATGACACCTTCGGAAGAAAAATGGAAGGGGAGAAAATGCAGTTTAAACATAAATTTTGATATTTCACAGTTTCGGGCAGTTTATAGCACTCATTTTAACGCAATGTCACACCATTTTTTATTTACATTAAGAAGACAGTATTTATCTTTGTGCTAAGAAATATTTACATTATTTGGGTGTTTAGTTACTGTGTCTTCGAAACTTGAAGGGGGTTTAAATGTAGAGAAATCCGATTTCCTCGTGGGCGCCGCCATCTTGAACAATTTGTAAACAATGGAATACGACTAGTGTTAACGTATTCGGTAAATAACTGGCTTCTTTTTATTGAAAAGGTTATAAAACTCAATCAAAATCAATTAAATAGATGTTGTTTTTGTAGAATTTAGTCTTGATTGCACCTTATAGTGAGAAATCTACTCAAAACAGGACGTAAAAGTCGAATAATTGAGACAAGGGAATGGACTTGTTTGTTTGATGCGCGTGGGAACTATTTCTTTTGTATTTATGCGCACTATAGCTAGTATTGTACTGCTCATTGCAGGCTTTATAATGATGTGTGAGTGTGCAAAAAGGCAACTTTATAAAGACACCGACGAAATAGGCCGACATTGTTATGGCACCGGCACCGTTCTGCAAGTCTCAAACGGTTTAGAATTATTTAAAAATAAATGTATTTAAAATCATTTTTCTGTTTCACAACTTTGTAGTTTCATAGATAAATGTTTAATAAATGTAAATATGTCAAGAACGGAAAATTGACCTATATATTGTTTGCCATTGTATTTTGGCATATATCTCGGATTGAGCCAGCGCGACATGTGAAGGGTTTTCCTATGCCTCCACACAAATATATGATAATCAGACAAATTTGCCTTTCCCCTTAAAAGCATTAATAAAATTGAAAACTCACTATTAATTTATTCTTATCTCCATCAGGGTTGGAAATATGGAAAAGAACACCATCAAAATCTAATAATAAATTAAAAAGAAAATGATTTTTCTTTAACACTTCACAATATGGTACATATAATTCAAAATTTAACACAAAAATACATGTATGAATTAATTTCTGCTGTTCAAATCTCACATCATATTCATGTACTTCAACTGTTTCAAACGTACATGTCATATTTTAAAATATTTATCAAAATTGATCATTTTAGCTTTGCATGTTGGCCTACAATCTTGCAAACACTCAATTCTAATATACAGTATACCAACTGCCCTGGGTAATAGCTGATTTCAACATTCAACTTTATACATGTACTTACCCGCTACTGTGATTTCTACGGCATCATTTTTACCTCTGTAGAAAAAAAACATTTGATTTATTACCCATACATGTACATACATGTGCATGTAGGCTATATAATACATAATTAGAAATTTCTTCTTTTCATGCACTTTCTTTATTCAATTATTTCATATCTTATAAACCAAATTTGTGATTTGACAAATCAGTCATTTTCAAATTAGACTATATACAAATTCCTGAGAAAAATCAGTGCAGCCAATCCAATACTAATTACAAGGATTTAGATGGGGTTTTTTTTATGTTTATTACAATGTCTATTTACCAAATAATTATTTCTTACAAATGAACGACAAGTAATTGGCCATTTTATATCCAAAACAAGAAAACAAAATGTCTTTTTAATTAACCATATTTGGAGTACCACACCCCTTTTTTAAAGAAATTATTTAGTGGGACATGTTTAAAAATCATGCCCGCATACTTGATTTTCTATCATGTGAGCATGTAATGTATGTATGTTACTTGTCATGTACCAAGCCATCCATTAGCTGTCTCTGGATAGGAGGGGCTAAATAATTTCTGTGAGGTGAGTGTGACACCATTTATTATTGAAAATATCCTAGTATGAACCACTTCTGGCACCCGATATTGTAAGCTAGTGATCCTACACGTTATATTAGGTCAAGACATGCCCATTAGGAGTGTTTCTGGCAAAGGATTCTTGAACTTTTGACATGCAATGAATATATGCATCATGACTGACTTCTGCATAAACCGCCTTCTCTTGACTCTTCTTAGGATTTTGTCTCACTCTCAGTCTTGACTGTATTACTGACGTTGAAATGATTTAGAAAACAGTCTAATAATGGTTCACAAAAAATACATACCCTTCAAATGCATTTTTGAATTTATAGGTCAGTGTTTCTTCTACAATACGATTACGATATTCTAACAGAATCATTTTTATTTAATAAAAATAACTTCTACAAAGTAAGCAGGAAGTGCTCGAGTCAAAATGGCTGTAAGCGGTAACACGTGATTGGTGGAACCTGTCATGTGATCAAAATGATTCATCCAAAAGACTGGATATCCTAAAAACATATCACGCCTTTGAAACAGAGTAGCCTCTCTTGTACCGATAGCTTTTCTGATTCACAAAATTAAAGGGCCACATTCTCAAAAATTATGTTGCTGATTTTTTTTTTTTTTTTTTGGAGATCAACATTATGTTACCGAACTTATTTAACAGACATGGTAAAAGTCTCAGACCATTTTCTGTTCATCTTTTATTTTAATACGGTTTCACGTATTTCAGTGGACAAGCTCCAAAACAAAGTAAAAATTTACCGCAATTACCGTATAGCGCCCCCCCCCCTCCTCCCCCCAAAGAAAAATTGGAAAGTCTGATGGCCACAAACGCGTTTCCTGACGCGAATCGTGACAGTAGGAACCTAGCGTTAAAACGGTTGTATTAACATCTTCTATTTCTATGTAGCACGAATAAAATGAATAGCCAGACCTTTAATGCTCCTTAACGCCGTCACATGTGTAAAAATAAAATAGATATTTGAGTAACGTCCTTGTTGAATAAGTATGCTAATCGGGCCCGTATCTACAGGGGGGCGCGGTGGGGCATCCCCCCCCCCCCGCGTGAAATGCTCGCCCCCCCCCCCCCCCGTCAGAAATTGCTAACAATCATTAAACTATACACAGTTCCTTATATTAACCTAAAAAAACTACGCTTCCCTAAGCAGGAGGAGGTATAATTCAGGCGACTATGCGCATATTAATCCCACGGTATCTCATTACTTTATAAACCATTTTTTTTTGTACTAATCTAAAATAGTTTTAAATAAATTAAAAAAATCACGATTTTTTTTTGTTTGAATACTTATTTTAAAATGTTATTAGAGGTAACTACATAGCATGATGATTACAACAACAGATGAACAGTCTGTTAGAATGACCTTTCCGAAAATTTCCTCAAAATGTTCGCCCCCTACCGAAAGGTAATGCCCCCCCCCCCGCTTAATGGTGTCTAGATACGGGCCCGATGCTAATAATAATATAAAGAAGAGTGTGTTTCAAATTGTATACATATGCAAATAATATGGTTGGTGTAATTCATTATTTATACATTTGGATCATGACGTGAATTTTAAATTTTTTAATAACCAGAAGCCTTTTATGAAGGGTGTTTTACCAGTGTCCTCTTACAAAGATAAAGCTATGAATATGAGACAAATTTATACATAAAATGGTCCTATGATGCATAGGCGCACGAGCTCGATGAATGTTTCAAAATTTAACTGCCGCAAACGCGTTTTCCTGCTAATCCAGCTGAATACAGCAACTTCAATGTGATCAAATAATAGCCTACCTTGGGTGACTTACCTGAATCCCAAACAACCAATCAATCGTCGCGGGGTATTTTGAAAATTTAAACGCCGCAAAGGCGTTTTTCTGCTATTCTAACTCGTGAATTAAGCCACTTCAAAGTTTCCAATCGGTTTGCAACCGAAATCCCACCCTATACCGGCCTGAATTCAAATCATCCAATCAGACTGTTGCAGTTGTATTCACAAATAATAATCGATGCCCGAAAAATGTCGCACAAAGTAGTGTGGCTCCAGGCAAAATGCTTTAATCCATAGTAAATTCAATTCAAATTCGTGGTATTCAATTAAAAGAAAAGTAAAATTAGCGTTTTATTAGATTTCGGGCACTTTATTTTGCCAACTAGATGAAATAATATTTTTCTTTTCTCACTTAACCCGTCTGTCCTTAGAGTCCGATTGTTCGAAGGTTAGGAGGGTAGAGCTGCCCACACCCCCACCCGCAACCCCGCCTCGTGCGCCTTTTTTAAAAATTACTTTTATCTAGGCCTGTTTAAATGACAGACAAATACATAAAAATAAGGTTAAGGTGAGTCTTTTATCTGTTTATGAAATTTATAACAGGTCCTATCCTATGTTGAATACATTATGTAGGACAGCCGGATCTTTATCTTGAAATATTATTACGCACTAATCGTAGTATTTTTATTTGCGAAGTGCCAACATGCGGGGATTACTATCAATTGTTTTATTGATCACAGTAAGTTTCAGCAACATAAGATTGTCTCACTTATTTATTTTTATGTAATATATCGTCGCTGTTTGTAAATATAGGTCTACCCGACATAGCATATACGTTGGCCAAATACGTCGGTGAAATATTGAATAACAAATCCGCCATATGCACGGATATATTCGGTCGACTTATTTCATTCGATCTGTGGCTCGTGGAAATTCTAAGATTTTCATCCAGAGAGCAAACAAGACAGTCAGAAAAAATCCATTCACTGTGAGAGTTCCCCCCATCTGAAATACTCTGCCAGAAGATGTGGTCAGAGCACCAAACATAAACACTTTTAAAACCCGACTGGACAAATTTTGGCAAAGACAATCTGGGAAACAACCATTATTAACCATAAGTATTATTCGTCTAGTGTGCCCGATTATAGACAGAAAACACATATTGTATGCTGTCCTTGGTGGATGCAATGATACAATTAAGTCTTATCTAAAATTTATCTTATTAGCAAGGTCGGATTTACATAGTTTTGGGCCCTAGACCGAACTCATCAGTGGACCTGTTGTACACTTGAAACAAGGTTATATCCTGACAAATTAGTTTCAGTGGGCAGCAGATATCTTACGTATACTACCAGTGCCAGATTAAGGCTCTGCTGGCCCTAAGACACATTTGATAGGGGGGGGGGGCTGAAAATACAGATATTTTAGGTTCACCGACAAAAAGAAGAAACTAATTTTTTGACAGTATAGTATAGACTGGAATAACCAGACGCTAGAGATTGTCATTCGATTGAGACTTCTGGCGTATTTCGCAGAACATAACTGATTTGAAATTACGTAAAAATGGAAACGATTAAATTTAAATCAGTTTATATACATTCATATTACATTAAATTATATGCGTTGCGACCCATTTGTGTCAATTTCAAATAATAATAATAATATAATAATTGATTTATATAGCACCAACAATTCAACTCATCGAGCTGCTTCTCGGGCGCTTTACATAAGTACAACTAATATAAAATTACAATAATCACAACACAGAAATCCATAAAAAGACATAAAAGTCTGACACAAACACAGCTAGAACCGTATTCAATCAGTTTTATATTTGATTCAAAAATTCGGTTTTGAGATACTTTTAAAACCTATAATAGAATTTGCGCTTATGGTTTCGTTTGATATTGAATTCCATAACTTCGGAGAACCGACGGCGAAAGATCTATCACCGGAATTGCTTTTTGAAAAAGGCTTAATTAAGAGGTTGTCTGATTGTGATCGAAGGGTTCTGCAAGGTTTATTGGTGTTGAGAAGGTCGACTCTAAGGTATTGAGGTGAAGAATCGCCATTTATAGCAGAATACGTAATAGACAGTTGATACGTTGACGGACTGGAAGCCAATGGAGAACTTTCAGAATTGGTGTCATAATCATGTTCATTTGGTTTCGTCTTGGTTATCACCCGGGCTGCTATATTTTGCAGTTTCTGAAGTCGTTTGATTTTATTTTCAGGTAGATTGTACAAAAGTGAATTACAATAGTCGAGTCTTGATGTAACCATAGTGTTTACCAGCATTTTATTCATGTCACTATTAATGAAAGATCTAATTTTTCCAATATTATAAATCTGAAAATTAATACTTTTACACATGGCCAAAATTTGTCTATTCATGTCCAGATGAAAGTCAAAATAAACACCACAATTTTTTTACAGTATCTGTTGGTGTAATACAGATATTGCCGATTTGATAGTTTTCTGTTTTAGATTTTAGTAGTTGCTGCCTGCTTTCATTATTTGAGTCCACCCATTTACGAATATCTGATAATATTTACGAATGACATTTCCTAATTCCCAAATATTAGCGATTTAGCTCCTTTAACCATAGACGTACGGGGATTAAATTGGTTTCGGGGGGGGGGGGCAGCATATTTTCCCGACAAATATATTTCTTTACAGTCCGCCGAGCCGCGGGCGGCGATGCCGTCCGCCCGCGAGCGCCAGAGGCGCGAAGCGTCCGACGGGGGGTATGGGGGGCCCCCCCCAGAAAATTTTGAAAACCAGACGGCCGTAGACGCGATTTCCAGGCATTTGAATACTTTCTACTAATTTGGAGTGGGTAGTAAATTATGTCAGTTGCAGCATAACAACTGGTAAAAAGTCATCTTTAAAATACAAGCTCAATTACTACGAAAACAAGAACAAGTCGAACAATTTACTTTTGTCATATTTTTCATTTTATGAGACTTCACATTTTTTATCCAGATCTCACTATTCACTGGGCTCGTCCGGTACATGGAGTTGGATGCTAGTATACAGGAACACAGTACTCAAGAACTGAAAAAGGCCATGTGTACGTGCTAGTTCTATTCAGATTGCGTACGTGTTCATCATTGACTCGACTGCTTTCTTTCCGCTTCCATATTATTAAAAATATTCAAAACCCGACAGACGGCGCGACGCCCGCTTCCCGACAAACTGAGCATTCATTCCCGACAAGACCATAGCCTTCCCCACCAAGGCCATACCCCTACCCCCACCCCATTTTCAAACACTCCTCGGCTAATGACCGATCTCACAATTCTGAACCCCAATTCAAGAGTTACTATTTGAGTCACAAACAAACCATTTCTTCTATATGTTTTGGTAATAAATTTATTTTTATATTGTAGATTTGTCAAGCTATAAAGGTAGGTATAACTATAGGTATTATTTTTGATGATTTTTTTTTTATCTCAACTTTTAGATTCTCGAAACAGTTTTATTCTATTGTAACATTTTCAATATCTTAAGAACTACATGTTCACCCTTTTCTTAATAATATGGACAACGTCATATATTTTATCTATAATACACCAGATAGTGACATCAGATTCCAAATTCTAATCGACAAATTGGGTCTAAAATAAGGTCCAATGACGTGGCGCAATTAGACTACCACCATACCGATCTATACTTTAATTTTGCTTGCTAATTCTAGTCAATAATTGTACTGTCTATTATTCATTATGCGTATACCTCAGTATGAAACTATTAATGTTTAATGGTGCAAGACGAAGGGCATGACAAAAACAGTGTCTAGTAGTTCGAATGGGACGAAAAACCGAGGCCCCGTATACACATTTGCGTGCAAGTAAAAAAACCATTATAGACAGTTGGATTTCTATGACGTGTAGGCGGAAAAATTTCCCTCGTAGCTCACGGCATGACGTATGCCCATCTTCAGTAGCCCAGTCGACGTAGATAATATTAAACCCCCATTCCATTATATTCCCTAGTAATTAGCAGTTAGCCATATGAATTAATATTTTTTATCGTGTCAATGAATAGGGTGCCACAAATGGAACTAGTTGTAAGACGTCGTCTGAATGCGGTAAAGGCTTCTGCTGTCGAGATGCCAATTACAGACTTTTATCTACTAATGATCGGTTTGGTAAGTAAGAGAACATTTATGGATCGGAGTCACGCATGTATGGAAGCCTCCCACTGTTGGGATTTCACCCGTATATTCCGGACATGTCCTACGCTATTTTCCAAACGTCCGACCAGGAATATGCTCAATCGGAAATCAAGTTATGGTGAATAATATTCAAAATTCCAAAATTCCAAAATTAATATAGTGTACTGAGCCTATATCTACCACTCAACCCGATCATCGTTAATAATAGACTTGATTGATTAGGTAATTAAATGGTCAACATATTTTTCGTGTTTTACCGCCTATACACCTACCTTGATTAACTACTTAATCTGCCTTATGATTGACTGAATTAATCCTTTGTCGGACAATTCATCAATCCAATCCCGAACAGAAGTCATTGCTTCTCCTTTTCGGACTATGTATAAATCCAATAAGGGTGATTATAAACTTAATTTACGTGATTACCTCGTGGTTTCGCCATTGTCGGACAATTCAATCTGCTGGAAGCCTATAAATATCATTCGTAATTTCTACTTTTCCTCCCTTCAGAACGCGTGAAGTAGAAGTTACGATAAAATGTAAGGCAACAACAGCATGCACACTATAAACAAATCGATGCGAAAATAGGAAATTAAGAAATAAACACACATAACTTCTACTTTTCGCCTTTTCAATTTTCGCGTTCTGAAGGGGCGAAAAGTAGAAATTACGAATGGTAGTTATATGTTTCCATACACATGTTATATTTAGAACAACATTGTAATAAGAATGGATGACTGTTCAGCAAATGGTAACTTTGTGCCGAGGAAAAATTGGGGACGATGGTGGGTCAGTGCCGGATTAAGGCACACGGGGACTCTGGCGCACGTAAAGGAGCTAAACCTCTAACTCAATATATTCCATAAAATTCTAAATTCAGAACACGATTTAAAGTTCAATACTGGACCACGTCAATGAATATTGGTGTTGTTATCTTGTCGTGAAAATATCAGATCTTAATACCCAATATTTAAGACATAATGACCATTCTAAAATCAGTACACGAGTCGTGTATTTCTATGTCTTCGTGGACCATTTGTAATGAACAAAGAAAAGCATATCATACAAGAAAGTATCGAAGAAATTAGTAATGGCTGATTCACAAACAACAAAATAATAAGAAAACGCGTATTTCACCGGACATAATTAATTAAATTAGATGATACAATAAAAAATTCAAATTTGAATTTAAATCACTTTAAAGACATTAATATGACAATAATATATGCTTTTAGACCGATTTTCATCTTTTTTAAGGTTTTAGAGCCATACACCCTTTAAGTATATGAGACTCCCTAAAAATATTATTGAAACACACAATGAGGATTAAAATGCTTTCACGCGGCTTTTCGCTTGGATCCAATCACAGCCGTGGTTGTACCAGTACCCAATAGCTATTTGTATATTTTTGTGTTGTATTACAGGAATTCTATTAGACGTTGAAGGAACTTGCACGCAAGGTAAAGCAAGACCAGGCGAAGCATGTGATGGTGATTGCCAATGTGATACAGGTAAAATTCTATTCTAATTTGAACATTTCGTTCCATTTTATTTTCCGGTTGATCAATACACTAAATCTAGTCAAGAGAATTGCAAACTGATCATCAGTAAGTTATTCGTTTGGCCGCTACTATCACTGGGAGGGATGATGACATTGGAGCGAGTTAACGAGCTCTCAATATCAACTTTTTGTTCTTTTGCAAATTAAATCCTAAAACATTTTTTTAAATTATTGGGGAAAAAAAATAAATAAATGTGTTGGAAGTATATCTGGAATAAAAAATATTCCCTATTTAGTGTAAATCGGTGTATAAAATAGTAAAACGTAAAATGAGTAAAAGGCACCGATGTAAACAACGCGGGTCTTATCGAGACAGTATTATATGAGGAGAATTACGTGGTTCCTAAAAGATTTTTACTCGAAGAAAATAGCGAAACTGAACTTCGGGATGGATTACAGAACTTTAGTTTTAGCAGGTCGTGAATAGCCTGGTATAATTATTGTTTTAAGCGTTTTATTTTTAATCTATTCATGTTTTTTTTGTATTTTTTAAAAAAAAAAAACATGCTTTCACGTTTTATTTTTAATCTGTTTTTGTTTGCAGGTTTCACATGTTATCGACCAATGAGTGGAGTTTGTTGCCTTCCCATGACCTGTCATGATACCGCTTACGTTATCAAACAGATAAAATACTGGAAGGATTGTTTGAAAAATCTAAAATGTGCTTTACCCCAACGTATAAAAACCCCCAGTAATCTGATAATACATTAAAGTACATGTCTTCTTTAATTTGTTGTCATTTTAATCACTATATGTTTATAAAACTGTTATTATAGTAAGTATATATGCCTACATAGTGGCAGAGCCGCGGTGACCTTGTGAGTAAGACCTTGGCTCTTTAACCTGGAGGTCTCGTGTTCGATCCAGGTGATGCTCAAAAAGTTCATCGGGATTTTCCTGCGTCGTTCCTACCTTGTTCGTGGTGCAAGACAAAGGGCCTGGCAATGGACGTTCGGATGGGAAGAAAACCGAAGTCCATAAAAGGACCCTTGACATTTGCAATTCGAAATATGAGTAGGCCGTAGTGCCGCTGCCAGGGCGCAGTTCCCGCGTAGCACTCTGCATGGCATATACTATGCCAGTCTTCATTAGCCCTGTCGGCGCAGAACGTTAAACCACAATTCATTTCATTTCATCCCTTACAGTGGTGCGTGAAGAATTTCCGAAACCGAGAGGGACGAGATTATTATTTAAATATACATGTATGTTAATGTGCAGTTTAATATTTGCAATATGCCGGTCATCTGACATAGGTTCTGAGATCTGGGTTATCTAGACGATAGTTAGAACACTCATGGAGGTAATATTTTATTGATAAAGTCAACATAAAAACAATAAAACAAAACACATCCTTATGGACGAAAAATATTGATCCATCCCAGCAAGAGGAGTTGGATGGTCGAATGGTTAGCGTGTGTGCTGTACCATAAAGTCTGTCATTGAGTCAACTGGCGTGGTTTCGATTACCCGTTGTACGTGACAAGGAGTAGGGTCGCCTGTCCAGCCTCGTGGGTTTTTCCCGGGTCCTCCGGTTTACTCTCACTGCTAAAGATCCCTACGCACAAGCGACTTATTGAAATATAATTAAACCACATGACCTAGAGATGACCTAGTATGTGTCCAGTGGACGTTTAACCCCATTTCTCTCTATCTATCTATCTCTCCCCCCTCTCTCTCTCTCTCTCTCTCTCTCTCTCTCTGGTGACTAAACGATGCGCGAGTGGGAACTTGCAACAAAACCAACAGAGAAAACATAAATATTATATGATCGGTGTTACTTTCCATCCGTTTCCAAAGCCGTCAATGACAATGAACGATGTAGACACTGAGATACAACACCATTATGTTTGTTTAAAAGATCAGCATTCACAAATAAAAATGCCCAGATATCTAAAAACGAGTAAAAACAGTTTACGTATCTCATCACACTGTCATGTGGGCATAGATTCGACAAAGCATAGCCTACTTATTTTTGTATTTAAATCGGTAATTATCACAGTTCCAAAAGTAATTACACAATTCTTTAAACATACTCGCGATCTGTGTAATTTTCAAGTGTGGCAAGCAAAAAACAAAATAATTGTTGTTTTATGGAACGTTTTGAATGACAACAGACCGGTATCTGTATACTAAAAAAAGATTTCCAGTCAAGGAAACATGTACCCACAGCAGCTAAGTCGTACACCGATATTGTACTTTAAAAAGCTCACGAAGAAATCTGTCCTTTAATCGCATAGACATGGAACCCCTGTTACTGAAGATTAAATCAAATATCTGGATCCTTGCTACTTTGGAAATATTTTGGACTATCATCCATATTTTGAATGTTCGATGTCATCTCAAACGCGTGTAAATACCAAAACATAGGTATACAAGCTGTTGTAAATGCCTTTTTGAATACCTTCATTCCACCATTCCACCACATTCCAGTTAATAAACAATACCAGGATTCTCTAATATTTTTCATTCAGCATTTGCTTGATAAAGAATCGACCATCCTAATTCAAACGTCGCTCAGTAAAGCACAATGAAAGAATTTACAAGACACTTAAAATTGAGTAAGAAATCATATAGAATTTAGCTGTTCAAGTTATTGGAAATCGTCAAAAATCAATAGGATTCTTCGTCGTAAACATTGTACAAATTTATCTGTTCAGGTTATCGAAACTCGAAGATTCTTTGTCTCAAGGTCTTTAACACGGTCTATAAATTTAAAGTCAATCGGATGTAAGCTTCGTCTCTAGAGTCCCCAGACGATTTACAAAGTGATCAAGGGCAATAACTTTGACAGTAATTATCGAAAAATTATTGAAATTCAATAGGTTTTCCCGTCTCAAGACCGTAAACACTTTGTATCAAGTCAATTGGATAATACCCATGGTCTCTAGAGTATTCACAATATTTTGCAAAGTGATCAAGGGCCGTAACTGTCTATTTCCAGCTCCGTTATTAAAAACCATGGAAACAGTTTCAAATTTGAGATGTTGGGATAACAAGCGGTTGTCATGCATTTTCCAGGCGATGATAGGTTATTACTTATGACCCAAAGAACAATTCATTCATATTTCTATAAAAATAATGTCCGATAATGTCCGACAATTTATCGTATGTAAACCTTATGAAAACAATATAAATAATTTATAGGAGATCTTTGGGCTCGTGACATGCATTTTGATACCACCAATTACCAATGTTTTTATAACAAGTTGGAACAATCGGTTCGTGTAGTCGCTTGCAAATTTCACAAACAGCTTTGGACATCGTATAAAATGTGTCTTTAGCCACGAAAGGTACTTTATTTGATAAATATTCCAAGTATGCCGTATCATTTCTGTCTAAACAATGAATATATTCAGCCAATTCTTTGGTCGTGGTGAAATCATTGGTGTCAAGAAAAGACTTCTTGGGGTAGCAATGAGAATAATTCCCACCGCCTCTGTCAATCACGATCAAATTTAAATTTTGTCTTTTGTGAAATTTTTCTGTAACGTAATCCACACACAAGGAATTCTCGAGAGTCAAGTAAAATTTGAATTAAACACGCCCTCTCCTGTTCCAGGATCTAAGACCCCACATCCTCCATAAATATCCACTGGCTCACGAAGATGCGTTTGAAGAAGTTGAACATATTTTCGTCTTTGACTCTCAGTCACGCAATTACTAACAACCCATGCTATCAATTTAGTCTTTTTCACGAGAATTTGTTTTAAATCTGGTTGTTCACGAACCGGACGATGCAATACTTGCCCGTATGGAATCGGAATGGTGGAATCTAAGCGATACGTCATTGTCCAGTTTAGTTGTGGTTGTCTTTCCGTTAGTTTGAAAAGTTGAGAGTTGGAATGCGGGGGTGATTCTAACCCAAACAGAACCCAAACCTGTCCTGGTGGACGAGGAAAAAGAAGTCTCCGTTGATAATTAACCATATAAATGATCACGTCGTGGGCTGCTTCTAACTCGTGTACAATAACACACGATTTTATTTCACAATTAGCAAATACAACGCCATCTTTCAAGAGTGTATGTAACCAAGGTGGCGCGTTTTCCCAAGCAATTCTTTTTAATTGGGTGTTTGAAGCTGCATGGTCTTCGTGACCCCGAATTCGAAACAGATAATCTCATTGACGATTCTAGTGATCCGTTGATAGAGGTTGTGATATTCGTCCAACTCGATAAACCAGTAATTTTGAATTGCTGACGACCATTGGTAGAACATATTAAATAGATGTAGAACATAAAGAGACTACCCACGATTAATAGAACAAATAATGTTAACTGTAAACTTGTTTTATTAAAAGCCATCTGGAAACAAAAGGAAAGTTATTAGTTCCAAAAGGAGAAAACGCACATCAATACTGAGATGCAGTGCAACGCACCGTGGATTTAAATGGGACTACTGGTGAGACATAATGTAGCTGAGATATGATCTTTGACATGTTTGTAGAATGGATTATTAGCGACACAAGTGACCATTCTAGCCCCAAGTAACTATCTGAATCAGTCATACGCCCCCCCCTAGACAATTTAGAATGTAACAATAGATTTCACTGATGAAACAAATGATAATACCCGAAAAAAACAAGTCACTCTTATCGCTCTTTAGAGCTTAGTTGGCGCTGGACAATGTCTATTACTCTGATTTAAATGTTTTATCCATTGGTCAATTTAAAGACATTTCGATTAACGATATATTGAGGGCACAAATGTGTTAACAGTGGCACGATTTGATTTTTAAAAATTACTTTTATCTAGACCTGTTTAAATGACCCACAAATAAATAAAAGATAAGGTGAGGGCGAGGCTATTGTCTGTTTATCAAATTTTATCTTGAATTATAAACATTATGTAGGACAGCCGGATTTTATCTTGAATTATTATACGCACTAGTAGTAGTACTTTTATTTGCGAGGTGCCAACATGCGGGGATTACTAACAATTGTTTTATTGATCACAGTAAGTTTCAGCAACATAAGACTTGCTCACTTATCTATTTTTATGTAATACAGCGTCGTTGTTTATAAATATAGGTCTACCCGACATAACATATACGTTGGCCAAATACGTTGGTGAAATATTGAAATCCGCCATATGCACGGATATGTTCGGCCGAATTTTTTCATTTGATCAGGAGTGGCTCGTGGAAATTCCAAGAAGATTTTCATCCAGAGAGCAAACAAGACAGCCAGCCCCCCCCCCCATCTGGAATACTCTGCCAGGAGATGTGGTCAATGCACCAAACATGAACACTTTCAAGTCCCGACTGGACAAATTGTGGCAAAGACATGAATCATACTACAAGGTTAAATTTACCGGAATAACATACAATTACACCCAGTCCAGAGTAAAAGGTCGTACAGAATCTAATCTGGGAAACAACCATAAGTAACCATAAGTATTATTCGTCTAGTGTGTCCGCTTCGCAAGGTTGGATTTACATACTTTTGGGCCCAAGACCGAACTCATCAGTGGACCCATTGTACACATACAATTACACCCAGTCCAGAGTAAAAGGTCGTACAGAATCTAATCTGGGAAACAACCATAAGTAACCATAAGTATTATTCGTCTAGTGTGTCCGCTTCGCAAGGTTGGATTTACATACTTTTGGGCCCAAGACCGAACTCATCAGTGGACCCATTGTACACTTGAAACCTGACAAATTAGTTTCAGTGGGCCGCAGATATACCAGTGCCGGAGTAAGGCTCTACTGGCCCTAAGACACATTTGATAGGAGGGCCTGAAAATACAGATATTTTGGGTTCACTGACAAAAAGAAGAAACTAATTTTTTGACAGTATAGTATAGACTGGAATAACCAGCTCTAGAGATTGCTATTCGATTGAGACTTCTGATGTATTTCACAGAACATAACTGATTTGAAATTAGAGTAAAAACGGAAACGATTGAATTTAAATCAGTTTGTATACATTCATATTATATTAAATTATATGCGTTGCGACCCATTTGTGTCAATTTCTAGGTCCCAAATATTAGCGATTTAGCTCCTTTAACCCAATCGCATACCTTTTTCTAAACCCCAATTCAAGAGTTACTATTTGGATCACAAACAAACCATTTCTTCTATATGTATTTTTATATTGTAGATTTGTCAAGCTATAAAGGTAGGTATAACTATAAGTATTATTTTTGATGATTTTTTTATCTCAACTTTTAGATTCTCGAAACCGTTTTATTCTATTGTAACATTTTCAATATCTTAAGAACTACATGTTCACCCTTTTCTTAATAATATGGACAGCGTCATATATTTTATCTATAATAAACCAGATAGTGACATCAGATTCCAAATTCTTATCGACAAATTGGGTCTAAAATAAGGCCCAATAACGTGGCCCAATTAGACTACCACCATACTGATCTATACTTTAATTTTGCGTGCTAATTCTAGTCAATATTATTACTATCTATGGTGCAAGATGAAGGGCCTGACAAAGACAGTGTCTAGTAGGTCGAATGGGACGAAAATTCGAGACACCCTATACATATTGACGTGCAAGTATTTTGATAAGGTGTAAACAGAAAATATTCCCCCATAGCACACTGCAAGGCGTATTGTCCATCTTCAGTAGTCCAGTCGGTGTTGAAAAGTTGAACCTTACACCCCCATTTTATTTCCTACAACGGTCACTCTGCATTCTTTGAGATGTTTCTAGTAATTAGTAGTTAGCCATTGTGACATATATGGATTAATATTTTATATCGTGTCAATGAATAGGGTGCCACAACCGGAACTAGTTGTAAGACGTCGTATGAATGTGGTAAAGGCTTCTGCTGTCGAGATGCCAATAATAGAGTTTTATCTACTAATGGTCAGTTTGGTAAGTAAGAGAACATTTTATGGATCCGAGTTACACATGTATGGAAGCCTATAACTACCATTCGTAATTTCTACATTTGCTCCCTCCAGAATGCGAAAGTCGAAAAGTCGGAAATAGGAAATTAAGAAATAAACACACAAAGTAGAAATTACGAATGGTAGTTATATGTTTCCATCCACATGTTATATTTAGAACAACATTGTAATAAGAGTGGATAACTGTTCAGCAATGGTAACTTTGTGCCGAGGAAAAATTGGGCAGAGCTCACGACAGGGTCATAGATGGCAATGTCAAGGCCACTCGAAACAGGTACGATGGAGGATCAGTGCCGTATTAAGGAGCATCTAGATCCTGGCGCACGTAAAGGAGCTAAACCCCTAACTCATTACTTTCCATAAAATTCTAAATTCAGAACACGAGTTAAAGTTCAATACTGGACCACGTCAATCAATATTGATGTAATTGTTATCTTGTCGTGAAAATATAGGATCCTAATATCCAATATTAAAGATACCGGGAACATTCTAAAATCTAAAATCAGTACACGCGTAGAATGGAACAGGCAGACACAAACTACTGACGTTCAACTTGGACTGTTCGCGTATTTCGCCGAACATAATTGATTACATTAGATATTACAATAACAAACAAAAATTTGATTGTAACATGGATGGGAAATCTTCCTTTGTTCTTTTCGTTGAATAAGCAGATTGTCTTCCCTCTAGTAGATTGGGTGAAGCTTAACCGTGCAATAACTAAACATGTTCAATGTTATTGCACACTTTTGCTGGTTTACACTAGTTTTAGTAGAAATCATATGGAGAAGTGGGGTGGGTTTTCTGTGCAATAACAATAAGCATGTTGAGCAGTTGTCAATGTTACAAGTCATTTATAGCACGCTTCATTCGTTAACAGGTTTAACCCCTCGGCCCTCGGCGTCTGGTTAAACCTGTTAACTCACGAAAGCTGTGCTATAAATATAACATATAGCTATTTGTATATTTTTGTGTTGTATTACAGGAATTCTGTTATCACCTGGGAATAAAGGAACATGCACGCTAGGTAAAGCAAACAAAGGCGAAGTATGTGATAGTGATTGCCAGTGTGATGCAGGTAAAATTCTAGTCTAATTTGAACATTTCGTTCCGTTTTATTTTCCGGTTGATCAATACACTAAATCTTAATCAAAAGAATTGCAAACCGATCATCAGTAAATTATTCGTTTGGTCGCTACTATCACTGGGAGGGATGATGACATTGGAGCGAGTTAACGAGCCCTCAATATTAACTTTTTGTTCTTTTGCAAATTAAATCCTAAAACATTTTTTTAAATTATAGAGAAAAAAAAAAATGTGTTGGAAATATATCTGGAATAAAAAGCATTTCCTATTTAGTGTAAATGGGTGCATAAAATAGTACGCGAAAGCGTAAAATGAGTAAAAGGCACCGATTATGCCCGGATCTGTTTGTGTTACTACGTTTGATATAAACAACGCAGGTCTTATCGAGACAGTAATATATGAGTAGAATTAACGACTGTTTACGTGGTTCCTACTTGATTTTTACTCGAACAGAATAGATGGATTACAGAACTTTAGTTTTAGCGGGTCGTGAATAGCCTGGTATAATTATTGTTTTAAGCGTTTTATTTTTAATCTATTCATGTTTTTTTTTTTAAAACATACTTTCACGTTTTATTTTTAATCTGCAGGTTTCACATGTTATCGACCAATGAGTGGAGCTTGTTGCCCTCCCATGACCTGTCACGATACCGCTTACGTTATCAAACAGCAGGAATACTGGAAGGATTGTTTGAGCAATCCAAAATGTGCTTTACCTCCGTAAACTGAGAATATATTAAAGTACACGACTTCTTTAATTTGTTGTCATTTTAATCACTATATGTTTATAAAACTGTTATTATAGTAAGTATATATGCCTACATAGTG